CCTTCATAAAAGAGACAAAATATAATCCGAAACCATATCAAAGCTACGAACCCTCGCATAGAAACAAAGTTTCCCCCTAGCGAAGTGAAATGATTTTATGTGGCGTGAACATGCAACGCAGAAATAAAGCATCAGGAAAATGGTTTTGATTGAAAACTTGTACTGTTTTATCTATGGATATATACAAAAGTAACAGGTTCCTAATAATAAAGTAAAGCAACATAGAAAACAGTCATAACAAATTGACAAGCATCTTTTGCTGTAAAAAAATTATTATGCTTGTTTTAACATTTATTTAATTGAAAAATTATTTAAACCCACAAAGTACTAGGTGCTAAGGTACTTCTATAACTTTAGAGACCTGTTCCTCCAAATAAGTAATGAGTTCGCCTACATAACATTGCATCTGCAATGTGTGCCCTTGGGTCAAGTTCATTACATCGCGTGGGTTCCGCCCTCTATAATCAAAAGACCGAAATGTTACGCAAGTTCTAACTAAATAGTCATCTTATGTAACTCAATAAATCTTGCTTAAAACATATTTAAAAGCAATGAATTAAAAAATAGAGGCTATGTTACTCACTGATAAAGAAACTTTTTAAGGGTAAAATAATTTTTGAAATCGACTCAGTAGTTTTTAAGTTCTTTTATTACGTACAAAAATACAAATCTTTTCTCTCTATTATATTAGTATAGAGTAAAGATAAAATACACTTCTTAGAAAATATTACAATCTTATATATATTATTGAAAATATTACAATATATAGAGGAAAAATATAAAGCTAGTCAAATAAAGTTTTCGTCATATAAACAATGTTAAATGAATTATTGAGACGTCCCTATCTTGCAATAACTATGTGATCAAGCAATGATTTTGTACCACACAATGATTGCATTAGAACACAGATTTTTATATTATACTACTCAAGCAATTGAATTCTCGATTGTTAAGGAATTACACGCAATATTCAAAACGATATTGTAGCATTGACGAGTATTGGTGAAGCTGAATACACACACGATTACGTGAAGTAAAAAAATATAATAATTAATACGATATTTATTAAAATTAAAATTGTTCAATATATTTTACATAAATGGAAATCAAATTTCTTGAATAACCTAATAGTAAAACCTTCTTTAAAGAAAAATATTTTAATACACATGCATCCTAATGTTTTCCCGTGAAAACTATCGTAAAAGTTACACCAAACGAACTTTTTACAACTTGGCAGTAAAACTGGTAATCTACGCCTATAAAAGAAGCAAAAAAAAGTATATTGCTTTAAATTTAGCCACATAACAGGAAAAGTTAGATATATAAATATAAGATAGCGACATAATTTATACGATGCAATAAAGATGCATTTTAATAAAACGAATGCATTTTGTGGAACGTTACTTTAGGAATTTGCTTCCTGGTGCAGTATAACATATATTACATAAGTAATGGAATTTTATGCAGTTTTTATTTAGAACTAGTCCATCTATAGTAATGTTATAAAGAGGAAAGATTTATATTTTTGTAAAGCGGAAGACAACATAACATATGCAATGGTAAATCCGTCCCAATATACCATAGATTTTTTAGAATGTCATTCAAAAGCAACGAATTTAGTGGCATTTCATTCGTATCATCCTTAAAACTTCTAGAATTAAGATAAAATTACAGAAATCAATAAAACCATTTCTTTATCTAACTTTCAAACCGTTTACTAATTTAATTAGTAAAGGCAGCTTAAAAGAATCTGATTTAAACATTTAGGAGTTTATAATTAAACTATTCAATTTTATTATACTTTGTAGAAAAATTCCCCTATTCATTCCTTGTGACAACAACCGGAAACGTAACCGTTTAACTTAAGAGTAATAGCTAGAGCGATTATTTACGATATATCATACTAAATTTTGTCTATTTCGAGAGGTACTAACCTCTTATTTTCAGATAATTGATGTGACTATGTCAATATTCATTTTCTCAATCATAACATAACCTTAATAATGGCAATGCATCTTATTGCTTGTGCAGCTGTGACTATTTTAGTTAACGGAAGTAATATTAACATAATATTTTATCATCCGTTAACGAGCTGGATGAAACACGGATGATCTCAGTTAATGGCGGAAAATATTTGTTCTAATGTCAGTCCATTGAATGTGTGATATTTTTGAAAGGGTAAAATTAGAGTTGAATTGGAATGTATTTCAGTTTTTTTAACTTTTGGATCCTGAACGATGAATGTGTTTACTTGTAAGTTAAGAATAATTTAAACTTTTTACTCATAATCCTAATAGTTTTATAGGTTATGTGTTCAAAACTGTTTTTATTCTGTGAACTATTTTTTTCTATACGCGTTTTTTCTATAATATATCGAAAGGACTGAACGCAAGACAGTAGCATCTTATTATTATTTATTTCATAGTCATATTAACCCACAACAATAATTTCCGATTGTTTTTTATTTTCGTTTAACCGGCGCTTGAAGATGATCCCACCTGATGTTAACAATCTGGTCGAAAGATGTTACTTGCTACTACGATCGATCACTGATGTCACGTAATCAACAACAAGACTATATAATTAGTAAAATATCTACGGGTTATTAGCAATAGGCCTAATATTTATCAATATCAGTATTTTAACACTTTCGTTCATTTTAATATATCTTTCTACAATCTCACGCTTAAATCTAAGTTATTTTATCGCTAAGATAACAGCGGAAGGTACACAAGCCGTTATCTAAATCTGTTTGAGGAGACTTGATGGATTGCACGCGTTTCCCAAAATGTTGCGTTCACTAATAATTTCTTATAGAAACTTCACAATATTACAACATACATTAAAAATTATAACAATGTAAGAAAGCCTATCTATTAGAATTATAGTTCTTCGGTTTCATATAATTGTTTTTCAAAGATAATTATCGTAAAAAAGAATTATCACAGTTCATCGTCATAATATTAACGAGGAAATAGTTAAGTTATACCTTTAATTGCATTAACTTCAAGCTAGTGTCGTTAAATGGTAGTGGCAAGGAGATTATCGTACGTCGACCTACAGGATCCACTTTGTAACGGAACTAAGTATGAAAGTTTGATAAGCTATGCATACATCCACTTCCTATAGTTTAAAATGACTTAACAAAAATTTATAATATTTACCAGCATAACTAAAAGATAATAGGAACAGGATCAACCTAGAAACACTTCAATAATTTTTCCTACTTTAGTGGGATGTTAACAAAATATGGTTATGTATGTTTTTTTTTTCAAGAGCTTTTTTTCATATTTAACAAGGAGTGCCCCTCCTCTGGCCGTTTAAAAAAGTCCATCTTAATACTTGTTAAAAATGTTAATTGGCAGCGGTAACTTTCAACAAATGTAGCCGCTACTGCAAATTATTATGGACTACAATGAATAAATATACACCATAGCCTTTGAAACTTAGCTAGGGTATATTTCAACACTTTCTCGATGGATAAAGTTAACATAATGTTTATAAAAATGAATATGCTGAAATTTGTCATCTTTCTTGTCATTATCATCCCGTCCCATATGAATGTTTGACATGGTATAAACTCTTCCATACATATCTGAAAAACCCCATCTTAGTTGTTGTAAAGAATTATGTTAAACTGCAGTGTTCTTAGTCTAATTGGATTTTTCATAAAACAACTTCTATTAAATGTTATATGTTCTTACATGTTTTCATAATTTTTCAAAAAATTGTGTTATACTGCAATAAACTATGTAAAAATGACAAACTGAAATCACTTGTTATATTCTTTTGTTTTAATGTATAATTTAACATTGGAACAATTGAAATAAAATATTTATCTCAAAAATGAACTTAAATTATGTTCAAAAAATTAACTTTAATTAAATGCTAAACGGTCTCATTACCCATTTAAGTTATTAGTGATATATAAGATGTTTATTTTAGCATTGGTTATTCAAATTGAATAATAAATATGTATTTTATGTTTAAAAGGTCATTTACATAAACCTAACTTAACTAGACTTCATGTTAAGTTTACATTTCAGTAAGTTAGCATTAAGTTAACATCAAGTCAACATTTGATTGACCAAGTATCAAACCTTTTACATGTAACAATGGAATTTGATTTTTTCATACCCTAGACCCTTCAATAAAAAATAAGTTAAACGTTAAATACTTAATGCATGTATAATTAACAGAAACAATGGAGGTCCTGATTCAAATTCCAAAATTGAGGAAGTGACGTAAATCGATAAATCAAGGTTGACAAAATGCAATTGCATTTGCTTACCACAAACGAAGCATATGCTTTTTCTTAAACTACCAACAAAAACATCAAATTACTTAAGATCTTAAATTATTTAGGCCATTAAATTGCTCAAATTAAGGTTGTATTTTTAATTAATCACTTACCCGGCGATAGTAATGCAGCAAATAACACAATAAAGTTCACAACACCAAACACTACACACGAATAATTATATTAATTACATTCTAATAACCTTAATTTATAAAACTGTTGTACTGACCCATAAAGAAAAGTGCATTACATTGCACTAAATCTCACACCTTATGACTGCAGTTTGCAGCTTTGCAGTTAACACACGCACGATCACAAAATATGCATAATCTCAACCAACCAATCACGATTCTTAAAAGATATTATACTATTTTGAATTGAAACGATCCTTGATATAAATTATAGATTTCATTTAGAAAAAACATGTATTATTTTGGTTCAACTTAAATAAGTAAAATCAAGTAATATATTTGCGAAATCAATTTTAATTTTATTAATACCGCCATCTATTGACAAAACTTAGCTTACTTGTATTCCATTTGACAGTTTACTTGATGTTTTATAATCTATACTTTTAACATTCCGTTACAAGCATTGCATTTTCACTGAGTAACATAGGCTACTTTTTTAATCCGTGCGGATGATAGCGTTCAAAAGCTAGTTTTTTTTAATAAACGGGTGTAAAATGAAACCAATTATATCTATCATAGGCTATATATTTAGTAGTTTTATGTTATTACGCAAGCTGAGTTTTAGGTGCGCTGACTGGACGTTTTTTGAACATCTTTTTACGTGAAAGTCTAAGTTGATTCAATTGATTATGAACCTCTCCCCATATTTCATTTTGATCCTCCGCTGGTATTGTTTGTCTGAAAATATAAAATTCTTCTTAAAAAAGTGAAATCAACTTGATATCATTAACAACAAATGAACTAAAAACAACAGAAGCTATATCAAAAATTCTTTGACCATTAGAAAGCTACTTTATCAGATTTTGTACAATGTATTCAAATTAGTTATTTATTTATAAAAACAAAAATAATTGGTATTGAGACTAAACCAAGTACCTGTATTGTTTCATTAAATCATATTTTTCCCAAGGAGTCTTTCTTAACTCTCTCCTAACTTTATCTTTTTCTTTAAGATGTTCTTCAATATTAGCAACTCCTTTAAGTTCTTGCCGCTCCCATCTTTCAAGCCATGGCTTTGGCTTTAGTTTTACCTAATACAAAAAAGATAATCATACTAATATTATAAATGCGAAAGATTAGATGGATGTTTGTTAGAGTTTGTGGCACAAACAGCTGAACGAATTTCTATGAAATTTGGTATAGACATAATGGATAGTGTGGAAGAACACATAGGCTACTCAGTTTTTAATTCTACGCGGACGGAGTCGCGGGCGATAGCTAGTCTCAATATAAAAGTAGTCTAATAGTGAATCAAATACAATTCTATTGATTATATATTAAACAGTTTATTTTGTGGTATTTATGGTATAATTTTAAGGACCAATTAATTTTTTAATGTTGAATGCATCTTTATTTTTTTTAAATATCAGTAGATTTTTGTTAATTTACTAATATTTCATTAACCATCCCAACTAAGCTCTAGGGCTTGTGCTAGGATATGGTTCACGATGATAGTTGAATGCCGGGATTCGAACCATCGACCGCAAGATTGGTAGTCCGTACCCCAAACCGTTAGGCTATTGGTACTTAAAACATAACAAAATGTTGCATACCTGAACTGGATTAACAGACACCGGAGTGCCTTCTGGAAGTATTTCTGGGTCCATATCAAATGGAAATGTGCTGTACTCGGGCAATGCATCCCTCAAGTAATAGAGTTTGTCGTCCAAACGTTTCTCAAGGCGTAGCACTTGTATTGATTGTATCGTAGGATCATAGAGGTCATAACGAATCTGTAAATATTGGGTTTAATAAGTTTAAAAATGGCCAGCAAATATGTAAAGTTCGTAACATTATGTCCAGCTCGTTAAATGTCCCCATTAAGGGGCTCAGAGCCTACCTTATGCTACGTTTGGCATTATTTTGATTTGGTTTAAATAGTTTTGAATTCTTGAATTGTAATTTATGTTCAGTAATATAATGATGCATTTTTAAAATAACAAACATGATTTTTTTTAAGATTAAATTATACATTAATTTTTAGTTAACACTAGATTTCGCTCACGACTCAGTCTGCATGGAATTAAAAGAAACATAAGTGAATAGCTTATGTGTTTGTCCAGACTATCCATTATATATATACCAAATTTCATCGAAATCCATTCAGCCATTTAGGCTACAAACTCTAACAAATATCTATCCATCCATCCATCTACATTTTCACATTTATAATATTAGTAAGACAATAAATGTCTATTGTGTGAAAACCATTTCTATTTAAAGATTAGTTTCCCTATCTTCATTCAATAGTTTTCGAGATTTGATGTATTTCTCACAAGAAATATAACCCACCTCTACTCCTTGGTGATCCACAACATTCCTTAATATGAACTCAGCTCTGAGACCACACCCTTTTCTTTCAATGCAAATACCAACAAACCTGCTGGTTTTGCCTTGAGCATGGGGATCAGATATGACAACAGCTAGAATAGACCCTGAAAATAACTTAATAATTTCAAATTTGTTATAAACAAAAAAAGGTTGTTTCACACTTAGTGCTTCAAACTTTCACAACCTAAAGTGAATTTCTAGGCTGTGTTACTTGCAGTTAATGTACATTTTAAAATGCAAGGGGCTGAGAAATGTATATAACATAACTCATAATGCTGAGAAGTCGGCAGAGAGTATGGATTTCTTTTTAGCATAGTTTTGCCACAATTTTCTACATTTGTGCATACTTCTTTGATAGTTCCTGACCACTTATTATTTATAGCTACCAATACATACCAACATAAAACTCAGGAATATCAATTTGACTTCTTCTTTTTAACATATCAGCTCTTTCCATTTTCTCTCGTAACGTATTCCTCCATTTAGGATTCGGATCAGGCAAGAATTCCGGGTAAACATGTCGGTACTCTAAAGCTGGATTTTGGAACCTAATTCTACGTCCTGTCGACCTTTTCGCAACATCTTGGGCTACGTCTTCTTTTGTTTCCGGTAAAGATGATAAACCCCGAAAATCTGTAAATAATTACTCGTTGTAATAAACAAAAATTGCGAGCAAATATACACGACTTTTCTGTTGATATAACCTCTCGGTACAATACATCTTGCAGTTGCCAAAATACTGAGAGTAGATTTACGTATAGCTAGTGCCATATTCTTATTGCAATTTTTCAATTAACAAAACTTTTATCGTATTTATTTATTTAGGCTTTCACTTTATAAGATGTATTTGCATCCTTATTCCATATTATCTTGACAGTTGACATTGACAGAGGAGTTAACAAAAAGGTTTTTTAAAGATTTTATAGACACCGACAGAAAGACAGACAGATTTGGGCTGTGGAAAACAATAAACAATTGAACTCATTGTGAAAAATATAATAGTGAGTTGATTTGGTTTGTCACTTTATTTATATTAAACTAGATTACTTCTTTATATCCTTTACATTTAAAACACAATATCAAGTATTTTTGTAAAATGGAACAATGTTTTTATCACGTCAAGGCTTTGGCTGTCATCTGTCATTGTCAAACACAACACTAACAAATTATTGATTTAGTAAAATAAGCCAAACGACCCCAATTTGTGATTAGTTTCGTTCTTTGTTGCAAAGAAAATGTCTTCTATTATTCAAAAATGTAATGACGACAATATACCCTTAGCTGACGATGATCCACAAGTGATAATAACAGACGACATCGAAAACAATCGTTTAGACCATGGCCGCTCAATGGACTCTTTACCAAGTTCGTACACAGGTGGCTCGTCAAGCCCTGGTTTAAATGGACCGCCTAGCTTCGAGCCAGATTCAGGTATAGACGAACAAGAGGAAAAAGCTCGTTTAATATCGCAAGTGCTGGAGTTACAGAACACATTAGACGGCAAGTATCGACAAATCTTTAAATCTTTTGATCTTATTATCATTTGTTGTTAGTTCTGGTATGTTTCATAAAACAATAACCATACTTCATTTTGAACATTATTTATAAACATGAATTCAGTGACCCAACCCGCAGGTTCATATTTAAATGACTAATTTATTGGTGTTAAACATGATTGCTTAATCTTGGGATCACTGTTAGGTCATTGTGACAAAAGAAATTCTCAGGAAGCCAGAAAAATATTTTTGACCTATTATATGGTATTACCAAAAAATCTATAATCATTCAAATACTTTTCGTGCTACTTCTCCATAGTTTTTCAATTACTGTACAGACTGTTACATTAACATTTTCCAAGGCAAAGGAAATGATGATGAAAATGAACTATTGATACTTAAATATAAAATCATTACTGATTATGTTAAAAACTATTTCAGATTTGTCTCAGCGTGTGGATTCTGTAAAGGAGGAAAACTTGAAGCTACGTTCCGAAAACCAAGTTCTTGGACAGTACATTGAAAATCTTATGACAGCTTCTTCAGTATTCCAATCTACCACTTCTAATGTTCAGAAAAAGTAAACAATTTGTTGATGAAAGCACCAACATTAGCAATGTCAAAGGCAGAAGTGTGTTTTTATGTTGGCAATAATGGAAACCATTGAATGCACAAAGCTTTACGGTATCTGTAATTGGCTCTTCCATCAGTCTCTCTAAAATGTGAGAGTAGTAAAAAAGAAATGTGATTATTCTCTAAAAATGTTATAATGTTATAAGTTTTCATACTACTATATATGGAATTTACTTTGAAATAGGGTTATCCACTTTAGATATCTGCTTGCAAAGTTTTTTTATTCAGTTGTTTTAAGATTTCTATGTCAAAACATGTTTGGGTCCATTAAGAATCTTGTAGGAACAATTGAGTGTTGCCAACATAACATTCTATTAATTGTTTTAGGGAAATCTTTGTGGCTTTGCTTTTAGAAAGAAGCATAATTTTGACAAATTACCAGAGCACAGATTGTAATGTAGTTATGAGCATTTTATATGTCTAAGCATAATTTTTCACTGTATTTACATAATAAATATTTGTTTGAATTTTGTTCCATAATCAAATATTACACATTAGCGCAATTTATAGAGCAAAATGTAATCTCTTACCATAATTACACACATTCCAGATTAAACTGCTTAGGATATTAATTTAATACATGTTGTACTAGCTCTCTTCTCAATAATGAAAATCTCAATGATATTCTAAATTATGTATATCTTGTCTTATAGCTTTAAATATATTTATAACAACCTACCCATTGTTTGTCTTTCATAATTAATTAAAACAAAGTTAAAAAATGATCTAATGCTACTCAAGTAGCTTATGAACTATGGTACAGGCCATATTTCAAAATGAAGCTAGAAAAGTTCTTAGCTCCTTAGAACCCTCAAACTTCATTACTGCAAAATGACTTAGTCTAAATATCATATGTACTGTACTGTGCTTACAATCTCTATTGGCGTCCAATAGGCTATAGGTAATAAAAACTACAACCAATTCTAAAAAGCTGCCACAACAATTAAATAACAAAAATTGAGAGTAAATCGTAGTCATATCTTACTAATCTTACTAATATTATAAATGTTTAGATGGATGTTTCTTAGAGTTTGTAGCCTGAACGGCTGAACAGATTTTGTTGAAATTTGGCTCAGACGTAGAGGATAGCCTGGAAGAACACATAGGCTACTCACTTTTGTTTTTTTTTTAATTCCACGCGGGCGAAAGCTAGAATTTTTATAATATGGTTTCAATCGAGAGTCTGATTGCGTGAAATTCAAAACAAGTTGGCATTATTTTAAAGTTGCAATTCTTACGAAAAAACACCTTGTAGTAACTAATTTTTGAGTCTTCTCGTATTGTGTTTATTTTGATTTACCATTAGAATGTAAATGTGTGATTAACTTGGAAATTGGGAATTACTATTATCTTATCTCGTAAGTGTTTATAGGATGACTAAGTATTCCAATATAGTGTTCTGAGAAGTCAGACAGGAGCGGCCACGGAGGTAACAAATGACAATCAAGTCACGAAGAATAAACAGTAAAACCGCTAACTAAAAACAGCTGTTCATGGCTTAAAGTTTAATTATTTCAGCTATATATCTAAGTTTTTAAAGTGCTGATATAAAAAAAAACAGCGAAGAACACAAAAATCTTTTATTACTTGCTTTTACTATGTCAAATTCATTCTGTTTATCTCAGTTTTATGGAGAAAAAAATAAGCCGTTGTAGCTACTTTCTATTTCTCTAAAGTGTATCCGTGAGAAAGCTCGAATGAATAATTTGGAACACGTGCTAAACAGACGTTGATCATGACCTGTAGTCGTGACGGAAAAGTCATTACTAAACCAAAGCGTCATAATTTTAATGAAACATCTGAAAAGCACCCAGTGGTGACGAATTCGGCAACATGCAACAAAAAACCACTGCTGTATAAAGTCATGCAGTCATTGGACGGCAACCGCGTGAGAACCGCATGACCGGTGCATGACGTTTTCTAAAGTTATGCTGATACAATTAATTTCCAATTATTTCGGTAATATGAAACGATTACGTTTCCATTAATTGGTTTGAAAACTTAACATCTGAGAATACTCAGAGGCAGAATAGTGATAGGCGTTTTAAGTTTTCTTGCTTTCTTTCATAAACCTAATACAGTCAAAATAACATTTAACTACAGCTACATTAAGTGTGCACCACTTTGCTTTTAAAAGTTAATTAACCATCTTCAATTTATGATGGTTATGGTTATATTAGGAAATAAAATGTATTTTACTACTCTCTTAGCTTGAATTCCATATGTTAGAGCGGTCGGCTTTATTTGTTAATTCCTTCCATTTCTATTTACTCTCGACATCTTCACACCGCCCATGTCTACCAAATCTTCCACCTTGCTCTGGGTTTGCCCCTAATCCTGCGACTTTCACTGATATTTTTAATTATTCAATAGAAATGTTTATCAAAATTCTCTTTTAGTTGGTTGCGTGCCGGCAAATTCATGTCGCCGAAATTGGCAACACTTTAAACTCTATCTCTTTCCCTCTTGTACTGAAACCAATTTAACAACGTTCATCCTTTTCCAATTTTCAGCGAATCAGCGATTAGGAAAAGACTAGTCGATTTTTGACACCGTTACGGAGAGTACGTGTTTTACATTTTTGATTGTTCGAAATATAAAGAGATTCTATAATGCCGAAAAAATTAAAAGTGGTAGTAAAGTCCCTTTATTCTCATGAAATACGTAAAGATGTGGGCCTGGAAAACTTGAAATCGTTGAAACTTGAAGACGCATGGCCCTTTATTAGAGATGAAATCGAGACAGAAATCGGCAGTAGCCAGTTGGTTTGCATCCCCCATATTACAGAAGCAGACTTGTATAAGGTCTCATCCTTGTTTGTGCAAAATGATAAAGCAAAAAATGGCAAAACATTTACACCTTTAGGTGAATTGGTCAAGAACATCAACAAAAAGAAATCTAACTCTGAATATGTGCAATGGCTCGAAGAGGCGGATTTTCAAGATTCTGATTTCAAATTTCCTCACGAGAGCGTAAAGGTATGTTTTTGCCATTTCCTTCATGTCAGAGTAACGACCTTGACCTGACCGAATGCGCTTTTATTGAAAATCCTATTCTATAATCTAATTACCTGGTAAAATACGTGATCGATGTTAAAAAATACATCTTTCGACAATGTTATGGTTTATTACACGTGCTTATTCTGTTATGCAGTTGTTTCCAAAATATCTGCGTAATACCGGCTTTATAAACATCGCAAGTTTGCCGATTTCATAACGCTGTTTCTCGTTGGCCCGATCGGCACACCGATTGACCGACCGGTCCATTGGATTTGTTTTCGCTTGGGTCGATTGTTTGTATTCGATCCGCCAAGTAGAAAAAAAAAACAAAGTGACTACATTATGTTTTCGGGTCAACATCCTTCTTCCATATTCCTATTTGTTGTTTAACGATAAATATGCTAGAATTTATGTATGTATTGATATTGTTTCGATCATATTGATTCACGCGTTAATATCTCTATAGGACAGTTTAAAATCTATGCTATATTTTAAATGTAAAAATCAATAAATCTCTTTAAATAATTCACTTAGAATTGACAATTTCATCTTTGATAAATTATTGTATGGTTATTAATATTCGTAATGGTATTTTAGAATTATACAATACTTGTAATAATGAATCTGAATGTAATGTGTTAATTTAATATCATGACAATACTACCTTTATTTCATAATGTTTCTTGAACTGCTAACCTGCATTGTTAATATGATTCATTGGTGATATTACACAGTAGCAACAAATTCATTGTCCATATTCTTCAAGGTATAAGTGACACAATGATTTTTGTTTATTTTTAACAATAGTGTGTTTGATACAATAAGTTAAATGTATGGGTATTTTTTACCTCTTTTAATTACTGGAATTCATTCATAATAAATTTTAATATAATTTATACAAAATATACAAGCTCTGCTCTGATTTAAGCTATATTTAATATCAGTGTTTATTACTTTAATAAATTTAATAAAATAGGTTTAGTCTCCCTAAATTATAATATTGCAACTGGCATGTAAAAAAAAATTTTTTTCTTAAAACAACTTAGTGCTATAACTTCTTTTAATAGGTGTTTTTATTATTTTTAGGCCATGATTTAGTACTTTGTATCAACAAGCACAATTTTAGTGACTCATTCTTGTTTCAGATAACCCTTCAAGATGAAACTCTTAAAAACAAAGTTAGGGTCATTATGGTAAACTTTACTAAAAATGTGATTCCAAAGGATAAAAACTTTGTTAACAATGTTTATTTGGATATTGATAAAATCAAAGGTATGCAAAAAATAAAACAACTGTATGAAGAAAAATGTAATATATTTGTTTTTTTTTTTTATAATAAAAGGGGGCAAACGAGCGGCTTGAACACAAAGGTGGTCAACGATGCTCATGGACATCCGCAACACCAGAGGAACACAATCTTGCAATAAGTAATATGCAAGATATGTTAAAAATACTTTTAGAAATACCAATAATGTTTATTACTTTAAAGAATGTAACATAGAATTTTACATGGTTATGTTAAGTGCAGATATTTAGGGTCTGTCTGACCACTCGCTGATAGAGGCTCAGATAGCTTAAAAATGACGTCACTGTCAGATGAGGGAAGAAAATCTGATATTTCCATCACATATTTTACATGCTGGATTGATATCAGACTATTTACAATTTAGCGGGACAATCCCTAAATATATTAAGTTTGTTGCAGATCTAAAGGGGAAAAAGTCAGTTTTTATGATCACAAAAGTACTTTTGGCAAAAACCATAGAGTTTAGAGTAACCATTGGTACATCTTCAAGGATTTTCCATTTGGGAAATGCGTCACCATTAGTATTTGGATTGGAAGAATTCCTAATTGCAGATGATGGAAAGCTGATTGCAAAGGTAATAATTTTTATTGTCTATATTAGTATTTTATTGAAATATAATTATTGCTGAACACTGAAACATGGTACAAAAAAATGTTTTTTCAAAAAGGCCTTTGATAATGAACATATGTACGCAATATGTTATGTATTGTGGATATTACCTACTGTTCACCTTGATTTAAATTGCATTTATGATTACATAAGCTATTTATTTTTTACTATCCTGCAAAAAGATGTTATCATAATGCCTTTTGTTATGTTTTTGTGTATTCACAATTCTTTGTTACTAAATAATTTTATGAGTAAGTAATTCAGTTATTCAAAATGCATACACTATTTAAAATACAATATAGTGTTTTTAATTTTTGGCAAGCATTCTTAGGAGCTTCTTAGCATTCTAAGGAGTTATTTAGAGAATCTCGCCATATGGTGTCCCAATTATTTTCAAAGGTGAATCTCAATGAAAAGGAGATATTTGATTTGAAAGTTTGGCGCAATTCCAATAAGAGTTATTGAATTTAAATAAGATGAAAATAAATGAAATGAATTTATTTTAACTGTATATTAGTATAATACATTATAGTTAATTTCTTGTTCATTAGATTGCCCTAATTTTTTTAATAATTGAGATTTTAAACAAACATATGGAATCTATTTCATTGGAAATACGAATTAATTACATATATCACTGGTTGACAATTTTATTGTCTGAAAACTTGTTCTCCAAATATTGATAATGTCCGTTTTTTTAAAATATATATCTATTTTAAGTAAAACATTGTATAACATACACATTTATCGCTGTATTTTAAATTCTCACATATCCGCAAAATGGAAACAAACAATGAAAACTGCATTATCAAGCATGAACAATGAGATCGTAATATTAATACCTTGATCCGTTTACACAGTAGCAAGTTGTTATCGCTGTCATAAACCTGTTACGTCTTAATGCTATAAACACATATAAATGGTCAACGACAGGAAAATTAATTATTGTGTTACTCTTATTGACTGCTATATTAGTCAATAGCCCTCCCCCCTCTTGAATATTGATCTTCTCCTTAAATTAACGGTTGGCAACGCCTATGACATTCTGGAGAAGAATACAGATCAATCAAATGATAGCTAATTATATAACGTAACCGTTTCCTTCAACCGTTTATGCGGATGTTTCCCGTTGGACCGATCCAATTCATACAATTAATCATAATCGGATGTAATTCCCAAAGGGTCGATCGACTCAACGGTAAACATCCGTTTATACTTATATTTTTCGTAAGATACGGGTTTCTTACCAAATTTGGTTTGTTTTAGCTTCTGCTAAAACAACCCAATCGTAGTAAGAAACCCATGCAAACATAATATTTGTAAAACCCACGACAGTTTAAAGTTCGTTCCGTCCGTTTCCGTTTAAGCTACTTGACTAACAATAGGTATTATGTACCATTCCAAATGAAACCTGTGCAAAACATCCTCCTACAGCCGATGAGAGATGAAAACAAACATTTTTAATTCACATAAATTATAGAATGCGTCTTTGTTGCATAATGCTATCGAATTCATATAATTTCCAAACCATTAATTCTGTTGAATTTATGAATGGTATTATATTAATATATTTTTATAACTTCTTTATCAAACAACTGATTTCTATTGTTTATTGCGATAATAATAATGATAAAAATTATTTTTCAGTAAATTTCTTATGTTAATAATGGTTTTTGATGAAACTATGTTGGCTATTGTCGCGTTGTTAACACGAATAGAGAACTTTTTTGAAGTCTCTTAAAATAAGAAAAAGTACGAGTATAAATGTCTCTTAGCTAGCTTCAGACATAATACATGAATATCCTTTTTTTTAAACAAAATTATCGCTACGCATGTAAGTGTTTAAGAAAATTAACTGAAATATTTGCAGTAACATCGACATACGATCAACTCTAAGAATCATTTAAACTCACAGATTTAAATTCTAAATGTCTATTTTTTATTTGACACAATATGCAAGTTCATGCATATTCTTATTTGAATAACACTATGATCAAAAAAGATGAAAATCTCTTACTGTGTTACGAAATACAGTAGGTTTTCTCTCATAACACGTAATATTTAGCAAATAAGTGCCAAGGATAATAAGGCTAGGTTATGGTCACGTCGTCATGGAATATTCCAGTGTTATTTTTTTACATTCTACAAACGTATATATGACTTGAATTCAAGGTGGCTGAGCTTTTTGTGAATTTAAAAATATTAATTCACAAAGTACTCTGTTCGTATTAAAAAAAAGAAACTTACATCGTATTAACTATTTGTTTATCAAATTAAACGTGCCAGTTTCATAATAAAATCAAGGATAAATGCTGTTTTTTTTTTCTGAACTTTATATAATTTTCGTCTAGTAATTAATTTGCTTTTGTTTTTAAATCAGGATTAACGGCAATGAAAACTTATTGTCATCAAATCAATTCTAATAACGCTAACGGAGCCGTGCTCATTGTCACGTACGTGTTGTGATACGGTATAACATATTGCAACAAATCAATTTTACATCGTTCAACTATGATTAATGACCATGTTTTTGTATTAAAAACCTTGGATAAAGATTAAAGGGCTTCCTATAATGAGAAAAATCTCCCTACTCTTCTCTTATGATTAGTTAGTGAATATTCATACTCCATCTGTCTTTTATTGGATGGTCATTAGTTAGCAATTGGTTTATGCACGTGACCTATATTGTACTCAGCATCTGTTGAAAGTCAAATCTAATTATATTTAGATAGCCTAGTCATACTGTTTAGTTGCAACGAAAATAATAATAACTAGCATTCATCAACTCTAGTAATATCAATTTTGACCATCGTTTCTCATCTTTAAAATGTACATAGCTTACTAGTTTTTGCCCGGGACTCCGTCCGCGTAAAAATTAAAGCAAGTAGCCTTCCAGACCTTCATCTTTCAGCTGTTTAGGCTACAAACTCTAACATCCATCCATCTAAACTTTCGCATTTATAATATTAGTATTATGTAGAGCTCTTATATGATAGAAGTTTTAGTTTTTGAGTTATTCTTGATCTAACATAAAATATGTATAGATTTTTTATTTACTTCAACGAAAACAGTTTTACATAACTGTGTTAACACAGCTTGGTGCCATTAACCATACAATGTTTATATTAGCACTGCACAATTCACATTATAATATACGTTACAATATAATGTTTTAATTATTATTTAAACAAGATTAGGTTTAAATAAGATTAGGATACTGATCAAAGAAATATTCGCTAAAATCAATACCTACTTGATATGTTATCTAGTATGTGTGATTAATTGTACCAAGTTTGAGTGATGAAATAGGAAACGATAATTTATTATCAGACATTTTAATTATGTGATTTGTAAGATTTATTTATATCTATAGATTACGGTGAATCAACTTTCTTACTAGAATTCGAAGCGAAAAAAAAAGAATATTATTTTGCAAATAGATTAAAAATTATTGGATAATGGTTAACCTACTCTCTTATTATTATTTAAGAAAAATAATTTGTAATGTTGAAAGGCTAGTAGTACATAAATATTACTTGTTACTAATATAATAAATGCGAAAGTTTAGATGAATGGACGGTTGATTGTTAGAGTTTGTATCTTAAACAGCTTAACGGATCTCGATAAAATTTGGTATAGATGTAGAGTATGGTCTGGAAGAACACATAGGCTACTTAGTTTTTTAATTTCACGCTAACGAAGTCGCGGGCGAAAGCTAGTAGCTAATAATTCTATAACTAACCTTAAACTAAACTAAATTAATAACGCATATTTGCATTAACCTCGATTTTATAAAACCTTTTAGCCAGAACCGTGGTTAATGCACAGATAATCTATTCATGTATAAACATTATCGTAGTTTGAATAGATTATCTGTGCATAAGTTTATAAACATAAGTTTGCCTACTTAATTACGGACTTCTTTGAATGGCTTTGGAAATACAGATGAAAATATATATAGACCACATTTTAAGGCTTCTAATCTTATTATGAGATTTACAAATCAAAGCTTTATAAATATAACAAGATTGGTTCCCGTCGTCGCATTGTATAAATAGCCTAGAATTCTCTACAAAATAAAATAATTGGACAGTCATAAACATTTGCCTTCTTGTTTGATTTTTGGTCTTTGATCTGTTTTGTGTATTGTCAATTATCAGAGTGTAATCAACGTTTTTTCTTTTTTCCCAGGAACCGGTGACCATCAAATCCAAGGCTCTCAATTGGCTGAAGCTGGACCCATCAGATCACCTCTACATCCCAGAGAAGAGGGGAGAAACATCACATTAGATCAATTAGTTTTAGCTGCAATTTGGTATTTGATAGACAAATTTAACATTTTAGTTGTCACTTTGAATGTAGAAGAAAAGCTACGATTTTTGTGTTAAAATTAAGACATGCCTCATAGCAATTTATGTGGAGAACAAATTTTACAATGAGTAATTTATTTTTCTGTTGTGCAAGAATGCATGTTAATTTGAGTTTTTACTAAGATTCGTTTTAAAAAGTGTTTATTACTAAAAGAAAATTAGCATTTTTTATTAATTATTTCGTAAATAAAATTAAAAAGATTTATATTTAACAAAAACAAATCAAAGTTTAGCAAAAGTAGAAATTTAACAACTTCAGTACAAAATAATAAGGGAATTTTAAACAAAATATGTGTAACAAAAAATTGATTGTATCTTAAAATTTAGAAACAGATGCCAAGGTTCCATGGTGTAATGGTTAGCACTCTGGACTTTGAATCCAGCGATCCGAGTTCAAATCTCGGTGGAACCTGGCTATAGTTTTTTAACATTTTTTTAATACCTTGACAAGAAAAATATTACAACTGAATTTGATTATAAATTATTTTATGTTTCGTAATTGTAAAAGTAACTTTTTGGACGTAGAAATTAGAATTGCAAATCTAAATTTCGCTTACAATATACATCTGTGTTTCGTCATTTAGTCACTAAGCTTATTATAATTTGCATATTGTATACTAAAATTTGTGATTAAATATTAAATTGGAAGTAGCGGTTTTTAGATAAAATTTAGAACCAGATACTGAATTAGTTAAATGTTTAAGAAATATTTTATCTTGACATTCCAAAAGCTATATTTTACGGTTTTCACACGCAGGTCTGTGATTTATTTTGAGTATTATTTTTAAAGCAATGTGTAAGTTTAGGAATGTGTACACCTTTAGTATTTTTGTGTGTTTAGTTGTAGTATCTGTGACTGACATTGTTACTGCAAAATTGTATTGTATACTGTAATTTTTATTTTAAGTGACATTTGATTAAGATTTATGTACTTATTTTTTTTAGTCTGATTCACGCTCTCAGGCATTTTAACATTTTTCAAGTAATGTTTATTAAAAATGAAATACATGGAAACAATTGCGTTTCTCATTTATTTATTTTTTGTGTTTACAACTTGCAATATACTGGTTATATACAGTTTATTTTCGGAAATATTCTTATGAAAAGTTTACCACTAACTTGGTCTAATTTTATAACATACTAGCTGTTGCTCGCGACTTCCTCCGCGTGATATTAAAAAAATAATGAAGAATATAGCCTATGTTACTAATAACGTAGCTTTTTAATGGCAAAAGAGTTTTTGTAATCCACCCATTAGTTTTTGAGTTTTTCAATACAAAAAAATACAAATCTTTCATCTTTATAATATTAGTATAGACAAAGACTTGGCTTGATTCTTAGTCTTTATCCATAAAAAAAAACATACAGACGAATTGAGTACCTTCTTCTTTTGGAAAGTCTGTCAAAAATTACGCTCATTAATGTGAAATATTTACCTACAAGCTTTTAAGTACAACAAATTGTCAACCTGAACTTGTTCCTATGGAAGGTCCACTCTACTTAGTACATACAGGTCTTCCATACGTCTATTAGTATCAGTGGTCATATCTGAATTCATCCCCTTCTATACTTCTACTTCGATCTGCTTTTTTAACCATCCACGTTCTATTTCCACAGGCCAAATTTTAAAAAATGGTTATAATCTTCAAAGGAGTATTATGAATATGGGTATATTGCGGTCTTTAGAAATCATCGATCATTCAGAATCGTGCCTTTTGAAGAAATTTCTACAGTCTCAACACTAATTTGATTTAAATTAATATTATGAATGTGAAAATTTAGACCGATGTATGGATGTTTGTTAGTTTGTAGCCTAAACCAAGGAGAATAGTCTGGAAGACCGCAGGCTTTCAGACTCACTTGTGTTTTTTTAAATCCATGCGGACGCAGTCGCGTGTGAAAGCTAGTTTAATTTATAAAAATGAAAAATACATGCATAATGCGTATTCAGTGTCGGTATATGCTTAGCTTTTTTTTAGTGAAAACCATAGATAAGTTTACAATGCTCTGTGACTGTGTAATCTGTGGTTAAAAATGAATGCCAGGATGACGTCTTAAGTTGAAACTTCAATAATTTTCCTAATTTGTAAATATTTCATCACATGGGGTATTTGTTTCAAATCATAGCAATTGAATACATATATTTAGTTTTAATGTTAAGATAGCAGGAAGTTTTATTTCATACGCGTGTAGGAAAAGTATGTCAAGTAATTCGATTGGCTCAAGTTCAAGCATGCCTTCTATAGGGAATTTGAATCAACAAAGTGCCATCCAATACGTTAACAACCCTCTTCAAAGCCCTCAAATACAAGCAGCGTCGGTTCAAAATTCACCTTCACAACACAGTCCGATGGCAACGCAATCACAAGTTAGCGGGAAAGTCATGCAAGGTGGCGTGGACCAACTATCAACAGTAAGTTCTTTTGTTAATTCAAATAATAAACTTTGAGCACGACTTAAGTCTATTAAGAATTTGTTTTACTTGTTTTTTGATTAAGCACAACTTGCAAAAATTCCTCATTTGTTCTAGTTATTTTTATATTACTTAAATGCTTCGTAACTTTTTTGGCCAATATACAAACCATAATAGTGATATTTTAATGCTTTGTTCTATCCTTTTTTCTTCATTGTCTATAACAAGCCGTATCCAATCTATACTAGCTGTTGTTCGCGACTTTGTCCCCGTAGAATTATAAAATAGTAAAAAAACATAGCCTATGTTGGTCACTAATAACATAGCTTTTAAATTACTAAAGAATACAACAAAAACAAAAATACGCTCTTTCCTCTCCAATAGTACAGTTATCTTTATTTAACACAAGTAAAAATGTAGTCTATGTAACTCATTGGTTACATAGCTTTATAATGGTGCAAGGTTTTTTTAAAACAGCATAGTAGTTTTTGAATTATTTCAATACATACAAAAATACAAATCGTTCCTCTTTACAATATAAGTATAGATTTTATTTTACAACAAATGTATTCTACAATATTCAACATATAATTTTCAGCTATAACATTATGAATTACATTGTTTCAGTTATTAACTAAACCTCGTCTTTATGATTTAGTGAGGGAAGTTGACCCAACAGTACAATTAGATGATGAAGTAGAGGATTTGTTGTTACAATTGGCTGATGACTTCATTGACACATCAGTTGGATCATCTTCTTTATTTGCTAAACATAGACATGTTCCCGTGGTTGATGTTAGAGATGTCCAATTACTATTAGGTATGGATATTTCACACTACATTAATATATTTTTAAATTGTTTTCATGATATATTAAGTAAAACAGTAATTATGTAAATTAAATTGTGTAGGATGTAAAAAAACAAAAAATCTTTTACGACTCAACAATGAACTGTTTTTTTTTCTGTTTATGCTAAGGTAAAGTTAAGCTAGAATCTAAATATATTGCTAATCTTAGACTTATATGTGTTTATTAAGTTTTCAATTTATTTGTAAATTACATACTTTCGTACATGACTGCAATTAAAAAATTATAGTAACTAGACTGTTTTGTTCCAGAAAATGCTCTATGTTATTGACAAATTTCATTGAAATCTGTTTAGCTGGCACACTAACATCCATCCATTTAATTTTAGTATATAGTAGTAAGATTTTTATGTTGCAGAACGCCAATGGAACATGTGGATACCTGGTTTTGGTAACGACGAGCTCCGACCTTACAAACGAGCAGCCATCACCGAGGCACACAAACAAAGGATGGCACTTATAAGAAAAAATAGTAAAAAATACTGACATATGATGTAGCTAGTGAATTTAAGGTATGGGTAATTGTAAATAAATAAAAGATTTGTTTTCTAAAATTTATAATATGTAGTTTTTTTCATATTCACATTTTAAGTGAGGGTTTGATAATGTTTTACTATTTTATTTCTCCTTCCTATATGTCTCCTCCACCATCAAATCCACTTTCTCATGTTTCTTTTCTTATAAGAAAAAGGTGGGACGGGAAAGAAACTAATATTGGGCCTTTGCCACCACACCCATTAGACGAAACGCGGAACTGCGTCCACTTCACGCTTCAGAGCAGTTCAGCAATTCTTAACTTACAATAATAATAATACAATTATCTGACAAAATAATTTTATAAAGAAGGGTAATAGTGTAATTTTAAAAGTGTGTAATAAGTGTAATTTTTAAAATATACAAAAAAAATAGATCAATTGAAACTTTTGTATTTATAAATCCTGACTCACATCTTCAGTTTCTATTGTGCAGTTGGTACAATTAAAACTGAAGGTATATAGCTTTATAGTAGTACCAAGATAATATTTGTTACTAGCTTTCGCTTGCGACTCCATCCGCGTAGAATTAATGATAAACAAAAGCAAGTGGATTGTGTTCTTTCAGATTATCCTCTACATCTATGCCAATTTTCATCTAGTTCCATTCAGCAGTTTAGGCTATAAACTAACAAATATCCATTCATCTGAACTTTCGCATTTATAATATGTATTAATTTTTTTTTAAATCCTTTATTTGTTTAATCCAATTCTGATGATACATCAGAAAAACTGTTATCTTCCTCCATATGTTCACTAGACACCTTATTATTTCTCAAGTCTTCGATCACCTCCTTTAAGGCGAGACTTATGTTCCAATTGTGAGCCTTTAGTCGTCTGATAAAAATAAAAAATACTTATAAAAAATGTGTTTAGATCCTTATCAATAAAAAAGCAAAATTAAAAAAAATACATGTAAATCTTTAAGTTTTTCACAAATGCTATTTAATACATTTGAAATCTTTAGTGACATCTGCTATTTGATCATTTTACAATTTCACTAAAAATAAAAATAATCATTCACTTATAATATCCCTAGTCCAATTATAAACAATTCTTACAAGACTGAATAATATAATAGAAAGTGAACTTACCTATCGATTTCAGACTTTTTCAATGTGGTTAGATGTTTGAATGCTTTACTAATTGACTTCTTTTCAGTTTTATCAGGATTTATGAGGCTATAGTCATTCATTTTTCTTATAGGAAACTGAAATGTAAAAAAAGTATTTAAAGCGACCCACAACATTTTTTTTCCACTATATGACTGTTATTTTTACTCTTAAGTACCATTTCCACATCTCCAAAACTTTTCATAACTTATTATATAGCATACTGTTTTTCAATTCAAGTACTAATTTACCTTAAAACTATTCTCCTTTCTTTCCCTATCTGCTAATGATATGCTGAACATTTCATTAGTAATGTGGTACAAAGATATGCCATTTGCAGTATGTATATTAAAAATAAATGTTCTTCTGAATTGCAAATAGTTTTCAGAGATATTTTTCTTATTGTCTGCATCTCCTGTGTGATTATCTTTATAGATATCTAAGACTGCATTGTGTTCTTTAAAGATTCCATCTAAAACTAAAATCATCTGTCCACTCTGTAAATAATAATTTTAATCAATAACTAGCTTTCACTCGCAATCGTCCACATGGAACTAAAGAAAAACAAAAGCATTTAGGCTATGTGTTCCTTCAGATTATCTTCATCTATCCTAAAGTTCAGATTCATTCAGCCATTAATGCTAAAAACATCCACCCATCAAATCTTTATCATTTACATTAGTAAGTAGTAAGTGGTAGAGCCCGCTTAAACATCTGCGCACAAATGGGCCGGCTCGCCCAGTGTAATACCACGACCACGAAAACAGGCGTGAAGTGAAAGCAATTCCGCGTTTCGTCTGATGAGTGTGGTGTAATTTCAGTCCCTTTCTATCCTTTTCTTAAGAGAAAAAATGGAATTGACGGTAAGGAGACGCATATGAAGGGGAAATGTCCTCTTTATGTGCGTCTCCTCCTCCGTCGATTAAGGGTAGCCAACGCATCTCCAATTGCGGATGTATATGGGCAGCGGTCGCTTTCCATTTCGGTGGACTCAGGTGGCCGCTTGCTCATTTGCCACCTTATATTATAAAAAAAGTAAAGATTATAAATAAGATTATAAAGGTTAAATAATGTTAACACTTTTAGAACCACTGACTTGAGTTCTTATAGAAAAATATAGGCACATAGGGTGAACTTACATCATGTTTCAAAACATCAACATTGAATGTGTTTACATCATGTGTAGATTCAGGAAATTGTTCAAATAACTTGGTTATATTATTCCTGGTTTTAAATATACATTTATTGTTTTCTGTTCTTGCCCTTTTCATAGGATGCATAATGTTACGCACACATTTAGCATAGTGTGGCATTGCCAGGTCTTCACTATCTGTAGTAAATTTTATTAACTATGAATGTGGTAAAATTTGATCAAATAATAGTGTAGTGCAGGCACTGTCTTCATTGAGAAAAGACAGAATGACTGGGGGTACACCAAGGTGATCTTCAGCATCCATGGACATCAAAGGAATCATTCTCCAATTATTTTTTTAAAGCATGGGAAAGGGCTATTAAATAATAATTAACTGGCTTGTAGCCGCGATTTCTTTAAAAAAAAAACAAAAGTGAGTAGCCTGTGTGTACTTCCAGATTATGTTCTACATATGGGCCAAATTTCACCAAGGTCCGTTATGCTGTTTAAGAGATATCCTAGAACAAACATCCATCCATCTGTACTCGTATTTATCATTAGTAAGATAGTATAGTATTATTATGATCAGTATTCGCTACCTATTGTTAGTAAAAAATGCATTGCTCTATTGTAAAATTAAAAACTCACCAAAGAAATCAGTGGAGATAGTTAAAACAGCATTCATATCATAAAACATATTAATCTTCGTACGTGGCATTGAGTCGTAATGATTAAAATACATTGTTACAAATTTTTCGACCACCATTTTGGATTTCTTTTGCGCTGTTACTACGAAGTGTTTGAAAATAGGGTAAATAACACCATATTGATTTATTCTCACTCCATCCTAGAGCAATAGAAAATTTATTACAATGATGTGGTACAAAAAAAGACATTTAAATTTATTTACTCTTCAAAGTCATAGATTTTATACCCATTGCAATATGCTATATTTTTAATTAGTCCTTTTTTTGACGTGTTAACTTGTTACAAGTCTGTGAACACTAACGCAAGAAAAAGCATGACTTCAGACCATCTGAACTTAACGTGCAAGAGAAAGCACAGAACAAGCAGTAGAGATATACAATAAATCTACATGTTTGGTTGTGACATGTAAAAGTATGGACATTAAACCGACTTTACAAGCTAATTTATTACTTACTAATTCCAATAGCCTAGGAAATTTCATCAGAATCTTTTTAATATATACATTTGGTTCCAACACTTCACACAATGGATTTCCTTCTAACCACAGGTACTCTACTTTACTTCCCACTCTAAACTGTTCTCGAACTGATGGAATCTGAAATGTAGAATAAAACTTAAATACATAATTGAATAATTAACAGTATTTTGAACACAGAATGATTAGTGTAACTACAACTTAAGCAGGCCTTTTTCCATGGCATGGTGACCGATGTAGAATGCAATACTCTGTAAATTTTAAATAATGTGCAAATTAAAATATTACTGTTCTTGCTTGGCAGAAGGGCATGTAGTATTTACACTAAAGATAAAATCAAGGTGGTGTTAAAGAATAACTTACATTGTTATTACTTAAATTGAGCCCAATCATGTCTCCTCTAGTAAAGAAATTCAATATTTCTAATGGTACTTGACTGAAAAAAGTTACATAATATTATTTATGACTCAGGATTTAAATAAACAAATAATTGCTTTACACTTGATCATCATTTCTCCTACCTTATTCTACTCCCATAGGATCTGTGCTCGGGGTTTTCATCCTTTAAATCATTCTATCATCCTTCATCTCCGTCATCACCCCTTTCTTGATCATGTCACCTTTCACACAATCCAATCATCTCTTTATAGTTCTACCTCTACCTTTGTACCCTCCACATTCATAACAAATTTACATTTATTTAATTATTATTTACTTGATATAAAGTATTTAATAATTAATTAATCACAAATGTATCTTACTTTAATTGATTATTGCTCAAGTTCAGTATTTTTGCATCCCGTCCCATTCTTAGCATGAGTATTTTAAAATTTGCTAGTAGATCTATTTTGTAAAAATTTATTTTTCTTTTGGCAAATTCTGAAAAAATATAAAAGACATATTATATGAACTTAGGAGAAAAATATTAAGCAAAAAATATCTTTAATACAAACCTGGATCATTACAGAAATTTGACAAATCTAATTCCATTTTATTATTAAATCTATTGCTTACAACTGATGAGACAATCTCCTCTATTGTAGTTCTACTCTCAAAGCATTCTGATGATGACTTATCATTAAATAGTATGTCAATATTGAACATATTTCGTCTGTATGGAAATATGAAATCCATCTTGACAATTTTCGTCACGAAACTAAGACTGCTTGTGTAAAAGGAACTGATATTTTGTTTTGAAACATAATCAACAGGAACAAATAAAACATTGTAGTATTCATTGATTGTGTTGTAGAGTTGTACATCATCTTCTAACCAGTTGTGGACCTAGACAACAGAATAATAAAGATCCAACTGATATTTACATAAATAATCATAGTGTCTTAGTCTAGTTGTCCAAATTGATACAGGTTATCGGATACGGCATATAAAAATTATGAAATTATACACATAACAGACATTTTCAACCGATAAATCGCAGGACACAACAATTTTGTTAAATGAATGAATACACTAACCATAACTTTATGAAACGAATGGTTGAGGGACTCTTCATCTCTTGCTAATAAATTTTCTAAATAGTCAATTACATCCTTAGTAGCAGACACTCTATTTAAAAGAAATTTACGATAAAACAGATTTTTAGACATTTTACCTCCCAAAATTGTTTACTTTACTGCTATTGTTTATTTATTTACAATCCGGGGGCTCGACACAATATGTCACCAAAGACAGTTATCAGCATATTTGACATTTGCTTTAGGTCAAAACAAATATATTGGTTTTTATGTGAGCAGATTATTATCGCACTTTAAGATATAATTTTCATGTGCTTTACAAAGTGAAAAAGCTGATTTGTCATTTCAGGACCTGAAAAATTTAAGTATGTTCATACGTGAAAATTTTGCATTCCTTGATTTTTTACAGCTTTCAATGTTTATTGACAAAACCAAAACGTCGTGTCACAATGTCACAAACTATAAGTCTGTGGTTGTGTCAGTGTCACTGTTGTCATTTTCATATCAGCGTTCCGCGTTGCTACATCCAGATTTTACGCAGAAAGTTTGAATTGAAGTAATAACGTACAAAAAGTAAAAGTTTTACAATGAAGACTGCAATAGCCAATGTTTGCAAAATACTCCTTTTCGTGTTAATTTTCATGGGATTTGTCACTGAGGTTGTTATCGGTAGTTCATCAAAAAAGTTGCAAATAGGAGTAAAAAAGAGACCGTCAGAGTGTCCAATTAAGAGCAGAAAAGGCGATTTATTACACATGCATTATACAGTACGTATCTTATTTTACCATAGATATATTTTCACTTTTCTAAGCAAATTTTATAAATTATGCTTTTAGTATTTCCTAAGTTAAAATAATTTATATCCTGGTTTTAAACTAAAACAATAATACATTTTAAGTTGTTTTTATGTTTGAGCTGAGCAATTAATAAAAAAATGTTTTAATTTTACATTATATCGATACATGTAAAAGTTGGTGTTTATCTACATTATTCCTAAAAAATCTTTATATATTTCAGGGCACATTGGAGGATGGTACAGAATTTGACAGTTCTTTACCTCGTGGAAATCCATTGACTTTTACTCTAGGTTCAGGGCAAGTAATCAAGGGCTGGGATCAGGGTCTGATTGGCATGTGTGAAGGGGAACAGAGAAAATTAGTAATTCCACCAGAGTTAGCTTATGGAGCAAATGGGTCACCGCCGAAAATTCCAAAGTCAGCAACACTTACATTCCATGTGGATCTTGTCAAAATAGAGAGAAGAGATGAGCTCTAAGTAAAGACAAGATAGTTTCAGCTTTTAAATCAATTTTATAATTTAATTTTAGTGTAATGTTTGAAAAGAATTTGTGATCAACCACCAATAGTTTATGACCTATATCTTTGCACAATTAATAGCACATATATGTAAGGAACGTCGGTGGCTCAGTGGTTTAAGCACTTGACTTGTAATCTAAAGGTCTTGAGTTCGAATCCCACCATATACCAATGTCATTTTCGAATTTCAATTGGACATAATTTACCCGACGTTCTTACGGTGAAGGAAAACATCGTGATGCAACCTGCACTCAACTGCAATCAACGATATGAGTGAAGTCAACCAACCCGCACTTGGCCAGCGTGGTTGACTATGGCCTAGTCGCTCCATACTTAGTGTAGGCTCCGAGCCCCTTGGTGGGGACATATAGTGAGCTGGTGATGATGATGATGATATGTATTTGTGTAAAATGTTGATGTATGATTTCTTGAAAATTAAAACCATTATGACACACTTTACCTTTTAAGTTTTTTTATTAGATATAATAAAGATGTTTTATAAAAGATACATGGACAATATATGAAAAAACCTTAGAGGCAATTAATTAAGATTTTGTCTGTGTCTTAAAAGGCATGATTTAAGTATGTTTTTTATTACATTATCATGGTGTACTTAACTAGATTTATTTGGAGCAGTTCATACAAAATAAAATATACTGATTTGAGTTCATAGGAGATAAATTAAATCTAGGTGCTGGAATTTGCATCGTTATTGTTTATTTAATTTTTTGCACCTTAAAAATACTTTACAAAACGAATTTTATTTCACTGCCAAATATGGCTGTTCGTTGCCAATTGTCATATAAAACTACTGTCAATGTCAATGTAACTAGTGACATTTGTTTTGTAATGCTGTATTTATTAAAATATAATTTTTAAGGATCAGTGTGTTTTATAGATATTCAATCTATTTCTTCTTTGGTTTTGTAAAAATGGTGAAAATAATATTTCTACATCCGGACTTAGGTATAGGTGGAGCTGAACGTCTCGTGTTGGATGCCGCATTGGCCTTCAAAAGCAAAGGACACGAAGTCGCGTTCTATACCAATCATCACGACCCAACTCATTGTTTTGCAGAGACTAGGAACGGTACGTTTCCAGTAACTGTTGTGGGCGATTGGATTCCTCGTTCTATTTTTGGAAAGTTTAAAGCGGCATGTGCTTATGTCCGTATGGTATATGCTGCAGTTTATTTGGCGTGGTACGTCATACCAGTAGAAGAACCAACTCTTATATTCTGTGACCTCATATCACTATGTATACCATTTCTCAAAATGGCCAGAGGACCATTTAGAATAGTTTTCTATTGCCACCATCCAGACAAACTTTTGACCTCGGAAGGAGGGTTCTTGAAAAAAATATATCGAGCTCCACTAAATTGGTTAGAAGAACTTACCACGGCTAGAGCTGACAAAGTTCTTGTGAATAGCAAATACACAGCTAGAGTGTACCAGGATGCATTTCAAAACATTAAAGATATGCCTGATATATGTTACCCATCTATCAATACTGATTACTTTAACACTACTGTACCAAAGCCATTGAAAGAAGTTGTACCAGTGGGTTTAGATAAGTTCATATTCCTGTCAATAAATAGATATGAGAGAAAGAAGAATCTGCAATTGGCTTTAAAGGCATTAGATCATTTAAAACATGTATTAAGTGATTCCGATTGGAATAGGGTACATTTAATAATGGCTGGTGGGTTTGATCCCATTAACTTAGAGAACATGGAGCATTATATTGAATTGACAGATCTGGTTGCTGAATTAGATATTGAAGATAAAGTCACATTCATGAAATCTCCAAGTGATGCAGAAAAAGTCTCATTGCTTTATCATTGTAGAGCATTAATTTATACTCCATCTAATGAGCATTTTGGTATTGTCCCCTTAGAGGCAATGTATTACAAAAAGCCAGTGATAGCAGTCAATAGTGGTGGTCCTACAGAGACCATAGTGAATGATGTTACAGGTTATTTGTGTGAACCAACTAGTGAATCCTTTGGTAGGGCAATGTGTAGGCTTATATGGGCACCAGAATTAGTGGAGAAGCTAGGTGAAGCTGGTAGGAAAAGGTTTGAGACAAAGTTCTCTTTTGATGCATTCACAGACCAGTTAGATGGAATTCTGACAAGGGAGCGGCAAATTATCTCTGAAGTGCGAGCAATAGAGTATGAGCAGAAAAAAAAGAAATAACATACTGCTGACACTCCTACAATATTTGATATTGTTTGAGTGTTATCTTTTATGCAACAGAACTTTTGCTTATTCAAAGGTGTACTTTATAAAAATTAATAGTATGGATATTTTGACTAAAAAATAAACAAAAATGCTATTGATCTCTTTATTATTGTTGTATATGTGTAACATATGAAAGTGTGTATATGTTGTAATAAATTAGAGCTCTCAATGTTTTTGTAAATGTTAATTACAAATAGATTTAAAAATTTTGAATTGATGTAATATATGTTTTAATAGAAATGAAGAGGTAGTCTTTAAATTCATATCCACTGATCAATATCTTACCTTACCAACGTTTATCTAGAAGATTAAAAAATAGAGTACATTAAAAAACTAGGACTACCAGTGGCCCTTCAAAGATTTCCAAATTGTGTCTGGTTTGACTATAAAGAAATGTTGAGGGCAGTCTTTGTTTATCATTTCTAATTAATAAAAAGCTCCTGTAAACTCTGTACTATTTCTAGTTTGTAAGAAGTATTTTTAAACATTTTACTGTTCTTGTAAATTACTGTTAACATTCTGCTATATAATCTTACCATAAAATGGCCTATTAATATTTCTTAAACAATGACTATTATTGAATAACTAGATACATACCGTTTTAAAAATTGCTTAGATATGTGTATTATGTTACAATGTGTTGTAGTATAATAGAGGTAATGCAAATTAAAGTTTGAAGATGAATCTTATTGTATTGTTAAGACACTTGCCTGCATTTTGCACATTCCCATATAGCTACAGCTCTATTTGAATACTATGCAAATACCATGTCTACACAAAGAAAGAGGTAATTCAAGTTATGTGGACAATATCTGCGGCTTTTCTAAATAAAGGATTTATTGGAATTGTTTGTGTTTTCTTTTTTAAATTTTAATTGTTTATTTTAATAGGAATTCTATTCCTCGATAGACATAATATAACGGGGTTTCTCAAATTTTTGTAGCAAACGAACTATAGAAATAATTCCTGTCCAAACCTAACGGAAAAGAAGGTGGAGAGTGGAGTACAGAATTGAGTTACAATTATTGTGAATTTCCAAAGTAAAAATACTACCGCTGGTGTAATGTTACGGCTGATGCCTAGGATTTGGTGAAAGTGTGGGTTAGTTTAAATCATATGATAAGATGTTAAATGCACTCTTGGTTCGGCCTAAGAGTTAGGATGAAAAATAAAGTTGTTGTTGAACGGAACACGGAACGTAGAATATCAGCCTCTCCAAACTGTCAAACGCGAAGGTGTCAATGTCAAAATGACATTACATATGTCGGTATCACCAACGTAGTGGAGTTTTTCGTGAGTTTAATAACTTTTATAAAAATGTAATTGTGTTACATACATTAACTACAAGAAATTAAATATACCATCTAATCTCTATAAAGAATATCAACCGAGTTGAAAGGTTTGTACCTCCGTTCTTGTTATATTTATTATGATATTGAACTTTTTATTTATTTTTATTAGCCTATTTCACAATATTATTGCAATTGACTTTTTTATCAGCTTAACATAGAGGGCGGACAGTGTTATATCAAATACCATAACGTGTTAATCTGGGTGTTGAAAATTTCAGAACTAAATCATGTTGGAACTACCTCGTATAACGAGAGCTCTCAGGGCGCACACGCAGCTAGACAAACCGCGCTGTTTGAAACCTTCTGACTTGCAGAACTTCAATCAGACAGTCCAACAAAAAAGTCAGCAAAAGTAAGAAACATTTTTGAACTAAAAATCCCCATTTTTGTATTTAATTTTTTATGTTAAACATACTTAAATTACTATAAACTTCATATCTTCCTCTGCAGTACCCATTAACATTTCTTGATCTATCATTTTTATAGTTACAAAAGTTATGCAGACATCTACAACTATGTGAGGGAAAATGAGCTGAGCACTGTCCTAAAATATCTGGATGAACTAAAGGAGTCATGCAAACTACTCACTGGGGATCAACCAGATGAGATTATCGAAGATGCTGCAGTTCTCACACTTAGGATGTTTATAGACCATGATATTGTTATGTTAAAACATCTTTCACAACTTAGACAAATGTTTGGTACAGTTGTCTCTTCTACGGCTAACAAAATTTGTCAGGTAACTAACTAGAATCTTTTTACTATCAATTCATCTAGTACTTGTTTTGAAATTTAATTTTAGTATTTTACAATTAAAGTGTTAAAGATGTTAAAATTAAAGTATTGTAACTTAAGAAAGTATTTTATTGGTAATAAAATGTTTATAACTTTTGTAGTTAACAGTTTTATAATTTTCTAGATAGTTACAAACATATCAAGCAATATAAAAGAAGACACTAAAGAATATATCAAGAAAGAAATAAATGATTCTAATAAAGAGAACATAAAAATGTGGGGTGATCATATACAATGTCACTATGTGCCATATAAACCTGCTAAAAAGCCACTACCTAAGCTTACAAAGAAACCAGCTGTTTCCAGTACATTTGTTTCTGATTTTTCAATGAAATACATCAATGATAGTGTTCGAAGGGAGAGCAGAAATGTTGAAAAGCCGCCAGTGTCTAAAGTAAGTAAATTGCACAAACTGTTATTTATGACTATAGCTATACATCTACTAACATTACATAGATGAAGGTTTTGTATTTTTGTATGTAATGCCTTAACTCACAAGATTAGCCAGTTTAATAAAGTACAGAGGAAAATCTGGGTATGAAAATCATACTAATACTATAAATGTGAAAGTTTTGATGAAATTTGGTATAGATGTAGAGCATAGTCTGGAGGAAAACATAGGCTACTTAATAATAATGTGGGCCTTATATTCTGAAATTATTCAAATAACTAGAGTTGATATTGCATAAAGTTCATAATATCCATTTTCATTGATTACTTTTTTTTTATCCCAAGTGGATGAAGTCGTGGGCAGAAGCTAGTTAACATATAATTTTAATGCATACATAATTATATCATTTAATATTTGCAGTTTGGTAAAACCTGGCTGGAAACAAAAGTGCAAGGGCTATACAATAATGATGGTGGAATGTCAAGTGCAGATATACTGCAGTCTATAATCACTTTATTGAACTCTCCGAGAAGCAATGATGATATGCAGAATGATCTCTTCGAGTTGCTGGGTTTTGACAAATTTGAATTCATTCAGGAGATATTGGAACATAGACAGGAAATTATTGATAGTTTAAAGGCACCTCCTGTGCAACCAACAATATCGGAAAGTAAGTAATGTATTGAACTTTTTATTTACTTGTTGCATACCATTCAGGTTCTAAACCCCCTCCCCCTCTACCGTGGTATTCTCGCCCAACCGGGGCATGGCATCTACGTTAGCTTATCCACGACCCGGCTAGGGGGAGCCCCTTAGTAGGGACTCGACACCTGTACATTTATGTGCATTACATATAAGAATGTGTGCATTAAAAACTACTCGAAAATTAGAAATTTCAAAATTTTTAACTGCAATTTTTTTTAATATTTATATTTGCAGTTGCTGCCTTGCTACCAGAAAATAAAATGCCTCAATACTTGTGCCAAGTATCAGTGCTGTCTGAACAAGAGAAGATGCTAGCAAAGCTTGTTAGGAAAGAAGAGAAGAAAGCTAAGAATGTTAAGAAAGTAGACGATGACGAAGAAGAACATGAGATTAATATTGCACAATTAAGAGCTAAAAGGTAAAATATCGCTTAGTATTTATATTTATTGTTTAAAGATTAGTAAATTTTAGCTTAAATTGTTGTTAAACCATTCTGAGTGTAATAAGACCAATTATAACCTCTAAAATTTATTTTTAATTGAACGCAAGTTGATTTTTTATAATTTTAAAAATCATTTGTACTTTTTCTTACAGAATAACAGAGCTTTCGAAACCAGTGGTACCATTTTCAACGACAAAAAGTAAAATAGATCCAATATTGCAGAAAATATCATACTTTCAGACAAAAGTTCAATATCCAAATGTTTACGATTCTTCAATCGATGCCAAGAATTCAGCTGGTGAGTATAGTTTATACTGCATGTTAATGCAATCTCTATTGATTTATGAGATTACTAGTTTTCGCCCGTGACTCCGCCCGTGTGGAAAAAAAAACAATCGCAAGTTGCCTATGTCTTATTCCAAACTATCCTCTACATCTATGCCAATTTTCATCGAGATTCCTTCAGCCGTTAAGGCTACAAACTCTTACAAACATCCATCCATCCATTCTTTCATCTAAACTTTCACATCTTACAAGTATTATGAATGTGAAATTTTAGATGGATGGATGTTTGGATGGACAGATGTTTGTTTGAGTTAGTAGCCTAAACTGCAGAACGGATATCAATGAAATTTGGCATAGACGTAGAGGATAGTCTAGAAGAACACATAGGCTACTCACTTTTGTTTTTTCTACTTCCACACGAACTAGTTTATAATATTAGTAAGATTCTTAGATTTATCTAAGTTTGTCATTTATCTAAGTTTATTTAGTCATTCCAGTTAAATAGATTCTTTATTGCGATAACAATGTGACAGTTTATTACGCTGCTTTAGTACATTAATGTATATTTTTAATGGTTGTAATAAGGAGATGATGAATTCATTCACACCTGTCAGATATCCTGTAATAGCTACTTTTTTTATTATTTTTTGTAAAAGTTGACAAATGAGCAAGTGGCCATCAAAATAGGAATGACGCACAAAAAGAAGATATATCTGCTTTCTATGTGTCCTATCTCTGGAACACACTTCCCTTACTATAGTTTTCTTGTATGAAAATAATTGAAACTGACATATGTATGTAAATTTTCCATTTCACGCTTGTCTTGTATGTGTTTTTTTTGTTTATTTGCTAGGTTTTGTATCGGGCATGAAACTTATGCTACCTGAAAATGCCATAAGAAAAGACATAAAGGAGTATGAAGAAGTGATTATACCTAAAAATGAACCGGCGCCTTTGCAGATTGGTAACAAACGTGTACCGATATCGGAATTAGATGAGGTATTTCAACATTACTTACTTTTAACTAGCTTTTGCCCGCGATTCCGTCTGTGTGTGTTTCCAGACTATCCTCTACATCTATACAAAATTTCATCGAAATCCATTCACAGTTTAGAATACAAACTTCAACAAACATCCATCCATCCTTCTAAACTTTCGCATTTATAATATCAGTAGGATTATATGAAAGGTATCTTATAAAAATGTATACAAAATACCTGGCAAAGAAGTTCTTGGTTGAGAAAATCAAGATCCAATTTCAATTTTTTTCTTATCCTTACTTATTCTATAAATTTAAACAATGCAAAAACAAATAATTTTTATTCATACTAAGGATCAAAATTTAAACGATTACAATCATCAAATCACCTTATTGTATTGTGAATAATTTTCTTTTTCTATTATTAATAGTAAAGATTTCTTCAGATAGGTCAAATGGCGTTTGAAAACATAAAAGAGTTGAACCGTATCCAGTCGGTGGTGTTCCAAACAGCGTACAATACCAACGAGAACATGTTGATCTGTGCACCGACTGGCGCAGGCAAGACTAACATCGCACTGCTCGCTGTACTGCATCAGATCAGACTTCACATCGAGAATGATGTTATTATGAAGAATAAGTTTAAAGTAAGTTAATATTAAAAAGCTGTTACCCTATTGTTATAAAATGGCTCCAAGTTGTCGAAAATAACTAGGATATAATAATATAAAAAATGTTTCTCTGTCCAAACTATTCACATTAAAAACATGTCATAATCAAATCATATTTTTTTAAATCATCAAGGTGATGACTGAATGTTGTGGTGATGATGATGATGCTTTTATGTGGAGTCATCTATGTAAATATATGCTCTGAATATTTTAATAACCTAACAAATAAGGAAATAATGACATTGTACATCGTTACGACCTTGGAAGTGAGGCATTGATACTTTAACCCAAAAATAATAATATTTTTTTTGAGTAAACTGTCAGTCAATTTTATTCCCAAATATTATAACTAAAGAGATGAATATTGGTAAAATAATGTTCAGCTAAAGAAGTTATTAGATATCTATACTAATATAATAAACCGTAAACACACACCAATTAGTTACTTTTTTTTTAAATTAAGAGCCTTACACTCACGACACTCTTTAGGATATATATTTTCATGCTAATAAACTTAGGGAGTAAATCATTTGGTAAAAACCGTCATGCGGGAAAGGGACAAAAAATACAAGCGATTGATGTCGCAATTGATGATGCAAGGTTGCATTTTCACCATTATCACAGGCGGTCGTTGTCATTTGTGCATTACAATTTTGTCATTTACAATTGAGAATTTCACAAATGTAAACAAGAAAAGAATTTTTAATATTAATTGTTGATTTCAGATAATTTATATCGCGCCAATGAAAGCGCTGGCTTCAGAAATGACGGCCAGTTTCGGCCGACGTCTGCGCGCGCTCGGCGTCGCCGTCAAAGAGCTCACCGGCGACATGAAACTCACCAAAACTGAAGTACAGCAAACTCAGATGATTGTTACCACACCTGAAAAATGGGATGTCGTTACAAGGAAGGGAGCAAGTAAGATTTTAACAGCCTTACAAATAAACACGGTATAAAGTTAAACTTAGGAATAAACTGAGTATAAGCAAAATTTTTAAAACTTTTTCGCCAACGACAGCGTGGACTAAAAAAAAAATTATAAACCTATGTGTTCTTTCAGACTATGTACATCTATGGTTTTTACCGAAACCCGTTCAGTAGTCCACATATAACAATCATCCATCCATCCAAACCTTTGCATTTATAATATTAGTAAGATTGAAGACACCAAATTAAATTTACATTTCAGTACTATTAGTTTAATTTCCATGTAAGAATTTACTTACACCTTTACTTTAATTAATTAATCTTACTAATATTATAAATTCAAATGTTTATAAGTATGGATGGATGTATGGATGTTTGTCGAAAAATATATCTAGCACGGCTTAACGGCTATATATAAGGATTGGGACAGATATAAAATATAGTCTGGAAGAACACATAGACTATTTACTAAGTTGTTTTAAATTTCGCTCAGGCGATGCAAAACACAAATAACTAGACAAACTAGACAAAAGACAGACAAAACTAGACGAACAACTAAACAAAAGACAAAATGAGAGAAGTAAAAATAAAATTAAAATTCAGACTATCATGCATATTATTATAATTTCTTAATTTTTATGTATTTTCAGCCGACACTGAACTAGCGTCTATAGTAAAATTACTAATAATAGACGAGGTACATTTACTGCACGGGGACAGGGGACCCATAGTGGAGGCGATAGTCGCGCGCACGCTGCGCCAAGTGGAATCCACACAAAACATGATCAGGATTGTCGGTCTGTCCGCCACACTGCCTAATTACGTAGATGTTGCCAGGTAATGTACTTTATTAGTTTACGCCCACGCCTTTGTCTGCGTGGAGTTTAAAAAAATGTGTGAACCCTATGTGTTCTTCCAGAATATCTTTTACTTCTATTAAAAAAGAATAATAATAATATAAAAAATATAGTCTATGTTACTCATAGATAAAATACCTTTCTAACGGTGCAAGAATTTTTAAAATCTTCCCAATAGTTTTGGCTTATTTTAATACATAGAAAAATACAAATATTCCCTCTTTATAATATTAGTATAAATCTAATAGTTACTTTTAAAATTGTGTTCAGTATATAACAATATTGATTGAACACTAGTACTACGATGAAGGATCGAACTTTTTGTCAAACGTATAGTTTGTCAGATTATTTGAGTCAAACAACCCGCAGCTCGTTTGCCCCCTTCTCATATAAAAAAAAAACATAACGACACAATTTTTTCTTTAACTTGTACCAAATGTAATGTACGGAATGACTTAATTTAAATTTTAATTGGAACTAAAACGCAATGTATTTCTTGTTAACATTTTTAAATAACAACTAGGTTTTATTTTTAGATTCTTACGCGTTAATCCAAACATAGGACTATTCTTCTTCGACTCCCGGTTCCGTCCTGTACCATTGGAACAACAGTTTATTGGCGTTAAAGAGGTCGGCAGCGGCGGCGGCTCGCATCTTAGACAGGTTTGTTATATGTTTTATTAGTTAAAAGTTATTATTGCCATAATAAAAATCGTTAAATTCTCACTAAAGTTCCTTAGTAGATACTAATCTAAATATTCGTTCCTGCTTTTATCATATCTCAATGTGGTTGTCAAATCTCATTTTTTTTGGAATTCTTGTGATTAAAAATGCTTTTACATTTTTCTTTATTCAGAATGTGACTGCGCCCGCGTAAAATAATAAAAAAACACAGCCTATGTTACTCATTGATAATGTAGATTTTTAATGCTGAAAGAATTTTTAAAATTAGCCCAGTCGTTTTTGAGTTATTTTAAAACATAAGTATAGATTAGTGGATTTTTGTTAATTTACTAATATTTCTTTTAAGAATTCCAGGTAAGCTTGCAAAGATTTTGCTATGATTTGGTTCACGACAATAGTCGAATATCGGGATTCGAACTCTCGACCTCAAGATGAATAGATTGTACCCCAGACCACTAGGAAATTGGCGTTTTCACTTAAATCAATGTGTACTATTTAACAATTCTTATAGTATACGATTTAAATTCCAGATGCAAACAATGAACGAAATATGCTACGACAAAGCGGTAGATATGGTACAAAAGGGCCATCAAGTTATGGTGTTCGTACACGCTCGTAACGCGACGCACCAAACTGCGATGGTATTAAAAGAAATCGCACAGAAAAAGGGCCATTTGAAACACTTCGAGCCAGAAGATACTGGTGGTTTCTTAAAAGCTAAGAAATCTATTAGTAGCAGTCCCAATAAACAATTAGGTGAATTGTTCGCTGCAGGCTTCGCTTGTCACCATGCTGGTATGTTGAGGAGTGACAGGTCAGTTTATTACATATTTTCTTACATTTTCCATCCCTTTCTTTTGTCTCATTTAACTATCTCCTCTCTTTGTCTTTTTTTAGATATAATCTGTGGTCATTAATTGCATAAATTAGGCGTTAGATGGCATAATTGTTACATTAACTGCTAAATCCGGTCTTGTGATTTTTATGGAGTAATGTTTGATTATACTTTTGAATATTTTAGGAACATGGTTGAGAAGTATTTCGCGGAGGGCTATATTAAAGTATTGGTGTGTACGTCGACACTTGCCTGGGGCGTTAACTTGCCCGCACACGCTGTTATAATAAGGGTAACTATAACATTCAAATATAACTAATTAAGCTTCAGCTCTAGCTTTAATTCTAGATTTAACATCTGCCCGGTGTAATACCACGACCACATAGAAGACAGGTGAAGTGGACGCAATTCCGCGTACAGTCTGAAGAGCGTGGTGCCGGAGGCCCAACTTTAGTCCCTTTTCATCATTTTCTTATAAGAAAAAAGATGGGAAGGTAACGTGGATTTGACGGTGCAGGAGACGCATATAAAGGGGAAATATCCTCTTAATGTGCATCTCCTCCTACGACGATTAAGGGTAGGCAACGCATTCGCTATTGCGAATGATTATGGGAAGCGGTCCCTTCCCCAGTTTGGCGGATTTAGGTGGCCGTTTGCTTGTTTGCCACCTTATGATATATATAAAAAACCTTCAGCTGTAGCTACAGCCGAAGGTAAACATAGATCTTCACCATAAACTTCAGCTACTGCTTCAGCGTCAACTTTAACATTGACTTTATTGCTTTTAGTTAATTTTAACATAAATTGAATTTATTAAATTTAAATGTCTTTTAGGGTACAGAAATCTACGACCAGAACCACGGTACGTTCATGGATCTAAGTATACTGGATGTGCTACAAATCTTCGGTCGCGCGGGCCGGCCGCAGTTCGACAAGTCGGGCACCGGTATCATCATCACGACGCACGACAAACTCACGCACTACTTGAAGTCTATGACCAATCAGTTCCCGATAGAGAGTAACTTCATTAATCTGTTGGCTGATAACTTGAATGCAGAGGTATGTTTGATTTAGTTTTCTTATCATACTATTTACATGCTATCTAACTTCTTAATTAATCTATCTATACTATTATAATAAAGCGTAAACACACTACTTCGTGGCGTAAGATGTCAGCAATCACAGCGTGTTTTTGAATTATTTTTTCTTTAATAAAAAGCCCTACAGTTACGACACGCTATAGGCTATATATTTTCACGCTATTAAACTGAGGCGGTAAATAAATTGGAAAAGTCCTTCATGTGGGAAAGTGACCATAAACAACAAGCTGCCAACATAAAGGAAGCAAGGTTATTATAGTTAAGGTAATTTTGACATTTGCAATTGATAATTTGACAAATGTAAACGTAAAATATTTTTTTTTATAATTTCATGTGGATGAAGCCGCACGGGAATAGCTGAATTATTATTAATGCGAAAGTTTAGATGGATGGATGGATGTTTGTTAGAGTTTGCAACATAAACAGATGAAATTTGACATAGATGTAGAACATAGTCTGGAAGAATACATAGGTTACTTGCTTTTATTTTATTTTACACGGACGCATTCGCGGACGAAAACACATAATACTAAAAATGTGATAGTTTGGATGGTTGGATGGATGGATGTTTATACGTGTTTCGAAGACGGCTTAACGGAACTCAATGACTTTGGCACAGATGTAAAATATAGTCTGAAACCACGTAGTCTACTTCTTTTTTAATTTCGCGCAGACAAAACCAGTTTTAAAAAATTTAACTATTGTTATTTGTGTTTATTACAGGTTGCTCTCGGCACAGTGACAAATATCGACGAAGCGGTGGAATGGTTGAGTTACACGTATTTGTTTGTTCGAATGAGAATTAATCCACAAGTAAGTATTAGTTATTGTTTTAAGGAGAAGAAATACGCATTTATTCATTAGACCAGTTAAAAAATGCGGTCGGGGAAAATGGCGGTGTTCCAACTTAAAAGCTACATTTATTTGAACATTTCAACGTGGAAAAAAACCCAGCTTTTAAATTTGTCCGTACAAAAAAAATATTTGGTGATACACGGCTAATTTCTCTTTATTATCTCTTAGTTTACGTCACTCATTGGTATCTAATTGGTTATTGTAAGAAGAGGCGGTGTATGTCTCAATAAACAAGGCAACTTTTCGTAAAGTGGAATTTTTATAACAAGCTAATTGTACTGTAGTACAGGAGTCAAGGCTCTTATGAAATGTATATTTTTCAATTAGAGTAAAATAATAAAGTATTTATTATAAATAAAGTATTTATTATAAATAAATAAGATAAAATAAATAATAAAGTATTTATTATAAATAAATACTTTATTATTACTAGCTTTCGCCCGCGACTCCGTCCGCGCGGAATTAAGAAAAACAATAATGAGTAGCATATGTGTTTTTCCACACTATTCTCTACATCAATGCCAAATTTAGAATTTCTTCTTGTTAGGTGTATGGTCTGACATACAGTGATGTGCAAGAGGAGCCGATGTTGGAGACGAAGCGTCGCGAGCTGATTACATCAGCCGCCATGCAGCTCGACCGCACACTCATGCTGCGCTACAACGAACGTACCGGAGATCTTAATATTACTGGTATGTTATTATTACGAACTATTAAACTGTTTTATTGTTTACATTCCGTTTAATTCATATGTCAAAATTCAAATGCTCTCGCCAAGACTTACACGAAAAAAAAAATTATGAGTAACCATGGTAACCATGATTCTTAGCTATTGGCTTGTAGTTTTTGTTCTTTTCACGCTATATAATGTTCAATTCATTCCTCTTATTAGTTGAATAACATAAAAATATGTAGCTTAAAGCGTTTTGTGAGTGTGGGGCTTTTATTAAAAAAGTAATTATTAAAATTCGTTGTAATGGCTATATCTTACATTAGGAAGATTGTGTTTACGTTTTATTATATTAGTATAGATATAGATAAAAAAAATTGGGAGATTAAACATTACTTGAGAAGTTAATTGTTCTTTTGTAGTAGTAGATATATCTATACTTCTATACTAATATTATAAAGAGGAAAACTTTGTATTTTTGTATGTATTGAAATAACTCAAAAATAATTTATCTGTAAGTAACATAGGCTATATTTTATTATATAAAATAATAAGACAAAAATGAACTACACTTGCATTTGTATTTTGCATAATATTACAGTATGTTTGAAAACTGTCATATTAACGTAACAGCAAGATACAAAAATATCGATTTAAATATCTTTTCGCTATGATATTTCTTATGTTTTTAGACCTGGGCCGCACCGCCAGCCACTACTACATTACTTGCGAGACCATGGAGGTGTTCAACTCTATGGTGCGCAAGTCTATGACACAAGGCTACGTTATTGAAATGCTCACACGTTGCTCGGACTTCCAACAGCTAAAGGTATATAAAATACTATCGTAAAATAATCAATTTTAGCGTTTTTTATATAGAAAGTGAACAATAACTAGTCAGTTTACCTTATAAAGGGACACCAACCAAAAGGCTTAAGAACCATAATGATAATGTATTTAATATATTTGAAACTGGCTTTCACCCGCGACACCGTCCGCATGAATAAAAAAAAACATTGTAAAATATAGTCTATGTTACTTCCAGATAAATTAGCTTTCTAACGGTGAAAGAATTTTTAAAATTGGCCCACTAGTTTTTGAGCCTATTCGTTACAATCAAAGTTTTCCTCTTTCACTTCACTCCACTTCACTTCCAGATTCACTATACACATAACTAAATAGAAACTTTAAGTAATTATTCTTTTTTAACTCTATCTGTTTTAAATTTTCAATTAAAGTAATATTCGCTTATTAATAAAATAACCCTATATAATATTGCTACAGGTCAGAAAAGAAGAATTAACAGAGCTATGGAACCTCAAAGACCAGTACTGCGAGCTTCGTATAGAAGACCCTCCGGAAGATACACATTGGAAGATTAATATACTGCTGCAAACGTATCTGTCCCGCGGACGCGTCAATGGATCCTCTCTGCAGTCGGATTTGAACTACATTTGCAAGGTACAGTCGCGGCCATACGCAGTGTTGCACTTTCAGAACTGTTTCTAACGTACATATTGGTAAGTAGATGTATTACCGTTAGCAGGTAATACAGGGGATTATTTGTGATAAATTTGACCATATCCATTATACAAAAGTTAACCATTCTCGAGTATACTTAATTTTTCGATTTTTTTCAAAATGATTTGAAAATGTAACTTCTGATGAAGTTATAATTTATACGTTTTTTTTTTAATTTATTGGGACATTTTTGACTTATTTTAAAAAAAATGAAATTCGAAAATGGTTAACTTTTGCATCTATATGCACTATTAGTAAAAAATATCACAAATGATCCTCTCTATTACCGACTTACGTGGATACGTCTAATTACCAAACCCTGTATACTGTGTCGAAAGTACTAAAGTGATAAAAAGTGTAGCTCTAAAGATATATAAATCTAATTTCACAGAACGCAGTACGAATAGTACGAGCATTATTTGAGATAACATTACGTAAAAATAACGCGTACATGGCGGGTCTATATCTCAAAATGGCGAAGATGTTTGAACTACAGCAATGGGACTTTTACAACGATATGAGACAATTCAACTGCTTCCCCAACGAGATACTGCGGCACATCGAGTACCCGATGCTCAAACCTGATCAGATCAGGGATATGGAGTGGCAGGAACTTGGTGAGTATAGTCGAGGACGTTTATTTCCTACCCATTTTCCTAATAAAGTCATTTGACTATGCAATTAAGTCGAAGTCAAATAATGATATCTGGTCCAGTGAGAAGCCCTGCAATATCTAATATGTAAAAGTTGTATAGGCATAGAAAATAACATGAAATTACAAAAAATTACGGATAGCTAAAGTACAGCAAGCATTGTGACACTTTTTAGACACTAATAAGGGGTGCTTGTCAGCTTTTTAGTGATTAATTTAGTTTCATTTATGCCCACAGGGTCAGTTAAATTTGTCGGTCTATACATGTTAAATTATAGTGGTATCTATAGTCTGATATAGTGACTGCTGTACGATAAACAACTAGATTTTTTTGTACAGTTTGTCGTGTGGCGGGAACACGTAATAAAACGACCAGCATCAAGTTCAGACTGACTCTTTAATAACTTATTATTACATATACCGACACAGTTGTTCCTTCGAGATATTCTTCTTACAAATAAACAATCCGTGCTATTGAATTTTTCCTAAAAATAAATTAACTGACGAAATAAGCGACCTAATTTACATACTTTCAAATAATAAAAAATTGTTTACAGGTGATTTACTTAGAAATCCCAAAACAGCACGGCATATGAAGAAATGCGCAGATGAATTCCCTCTTCTGGAAATGGAAGCTTCTTTACATCCCATCACCAGAACTGTACTCAGAATACGATTAACTATTACACCCAATTTTAGGTAAGTAATTAAAAAATAGATGGATGTTAGAGTTTGTAGTCTTAACGGCTGAACGAATCTCGAAAAAATTTGGTATAGATGTAGAGGATAGCCTGGAAGAAGATATAGGCTACTCACTTTTCTTTTTTTTTTAATTTCACGCAAACGAAGTCGCGGGCGAAACCTATTTTTAAATACTGTTAAAATCATGAAAGTGAAATTGTATAAGTTTGAATATTAGTTCAAAATAACTATTCTCCTTCAACAAATGCTGTTACCGTTTAGAAATCATGGACTAAAATATTGTTTGATTCGTTAAATGTATATCCAGACGGTCTTAAATTTGCCTATTCCGTTTGTAAATAGACGAAATTCACAATATTTCGGCAACGTGTACTAAAAATATGTTTGTGTAGATGGAACGACAAATACCACGGCAAAGCCCCAGAAGCATTTTGGATATGGGTAGAAGATCCCGATACCGATATCATGTATTACCACGAATACTTCCTTATTACTAAAAAACAGGTAAATAAACAGATTTTTTTTATCTGTATTAAAATTGAATTATCCTTTTAAATTTTGGAACGTATGGGCTGGGTTGTCCGCAATACAACGACCACACACAGGTGTGAAGTGAAATCAATTCCGCGTACAGTCTTTTGAGTGTGCGTTCCGTATGCCTAATTTTAGTTTTCCTTCCCACTCTTATCGTGTAAGGGTGGGAAGGTAAAGTGACTTTACTTTGAACTTATGTGAGTCTAATCATTTATGCTGATTCATTATTCATCTGAAATTAAATAGAATTTTTTTTTTATTAAAAATGTAATTACTTTTCAGGTTATAACGAATGAGCCACAAGAGTTGGTAATAACAATTCCGATATCAGAGCCTCTACCGCCTCAATATTATATAAGGGCTACGTCTGAAAGGTAACGTTGTTTTGTATTTAACCTATCCTAGACTTATAAGAATCTAATTCCAGTTTTTTTGACATTGACAGCTAGTGTTTAGAGTTACCAGTAACCAAAAAAATCCCAACTTTTTTCTAAATTTTTCAAAGTTGAAAACAAAACCAAACTAAATGCATTTTTTTTGTAATGTAGAATTATAAAAAATGGCGACATTTGCAGTTGCCGCTCTCTCATTGTTCAAGATATGACGCTTTCAAAATGATATTGATAGTTGAATTCCTTATCTATACTAATATTATAAAAAGGAAAGAAACAAAAAACTACTGAACCGATTTCAAAAATTCTTTCATCATTAAATAGCTAATATATAACTCAGTAACATAGACTGTTCGATTTTTTTTGATATTTTAAAAGTAGATATTTGACAAGTTTTAATTTTACAGATGGCTGGGATCAGAAAGTGTTCTACCGTTAACATTCCAACATCTTATATTACCTGAAACGCATCCTCCACATACAGGTTAGTTAACAAAACGATTTTTTTTGCCGTTAAAAAAATCTTTATTTTATTGTTTACATTTGTCAAATTCTCAATCACAAATGTCAAAATTCAAATGCACTGACAATGAAGGCCTTTTACATTGGATAACAATTACCGTTACCATAGCAACCTTGCTTCCTTGATGTTGGCAGCTTGCACTTTATGGTCCCTTTCCCACATTAAGGTTTTTTCCCCATCCTACGTCACGAAGTAGTGTGTATATACGCTTTTTATATTAGTATTAAGTATTATATTAGTATAGATAGATAAAAAAAAACTATTCTAAGTTCTGGTATGTGTGTACGAACTCTAAGACAGTCAGCGTGGATTAAAAAAAAACATTAATGGCCTCCCCTAGTAGCCATAGATGAATATATCAGTTAAAGATATTTTCATTATTAATTACTAGCTTTTCCCCGCGTCTCCGTCGGCATGAAATTAAAAAATCAAAAGTAATAAGCCTATGTGTCCTTCCAAACTATCCTCTACATCTATGCCAAATTTCATCGAGATCCGTATAGCCGTTTAGTCAAACTCTAACAAACATCCATCCATCTAAACTTTTGCATTTATAATATTAGTAAGATAATTTAATTATTTCCAGATTTACTAGAACTCCAACCATTACCGGTGACAGCTCTGAATAACCCATCATACGAGATGTTGTACAACTTCAGTCATTTCAACCCGATACAGAGTCAGATCTTCCACTGCTTGTACCACACCGACAACAACGTGCTGCTGGGCGCGCCCACCGGCAGCGGCAAGACGATAGTCGCTGAAGTCGCCATGTTCAGAGTATTCAACCAATATCCTGGTTGCAAGGTAATTAATAATGAATTACATGTCGTAATGTTAAATTTTTATAGATATTCTGAACGAAATCTATGTATATACTAGCTTTGCCCGCGACTCCGTCAGCATTGAATTAAAAAAAAAAACAAAGTGTGTTCTTCCAGAGTATGCTTTACACCTATGCCAAATTTCATCGCGATATGCCCCTTTAGACAAAGTAATCGATTATCGCTGATCGAAAAGTCAAAAATGTATGGAACTGACGACATTTGTAAGTCACGTGCTTGTGACGTATTCATTCTTGTATATTTTAACACATTTTGTCGATTATACAAGCAATATCGTTAATGGAAAGTCATTTTGTCTAGGGCTGGTCAGCTTTTTAGGCTACAAACTCTAACAAACATCCATCCATCTAGATTTTCGCATATATAATAGTAGGATAAAGCAAATCATCGTAGCAGAAAAAAATACTGTACACTATAAAGTAGTTCTCACTGAATAGTTTTCAGTTTTATCAGATTTATCTGAACGATCGGTCTGTTCAGATAAATCTGTCAGATAAAACTGAGCGTTTGCAGCGATCTAGTTTTTTTAAATCCGCATGTATGTAGTCTCGAGTAACAGTTAATTTAATAAATGCCATTGGATAAGATAGATTTATGAAAGAATGCAAAGACTAATAGGTTACCAATGTTTTTTAATTCTACGCAAAAAAATGTCGCAGGCAAAGAGATTTAGACGATCGTTTGGAACAGGATATAAATATTTTGGTGTTTAGAGATTTATGTGATTATTTCAGGTGGTGTACATCGCACCATTAAAAGCTTTAGTCAAAGAACGAATAAAAGATTGGAAAGTGCGTCTAGAGAAGAGACTTGGCAAGAACGTTGTTGAATTAACAGGTTTGTAAACATTTTTTTAATTCTTAATTGAAATACCATAGAGGCTCCGGCCAGTCATTAAATAATTTAAATCCTTTCTAGTTTAGGTTACTTTTAAAAAATTTACCCTAAGGAATACTTTAGTAACCATTGCTAAGTATTAGGATTTAAATTAGAAACGAAATCGAGAGAATTTCATTTCTATTCTGAAATAATTTTCGCCTGCGACTCCGTCTGCATAGACTTAAAAAAACAAAAGTGCGTAGCCTATGTGTTATTCCAGACTGTGCTCTACATCTATGCCAAATTTAATCGAGATTTCAGCTGTTTAGGCTAAAAATTCTAACAGACATCCATCCATCTAAACGTTCGCATTTATAATACTAGCTTTCGCCCGCGACTCCGTTCACGTGGAATTAAAAAAAAAACAAAAGTGATGAGCCTATGTGTTTTTCCAGACTATCCTCTATGTCTATACCAAAATTTCATAGAAATCCATTCAGCTTTTAACTTTAACAAATCCATTCATCTAAACTTTGTCATTTATAATACTAGTATAGTAAGAAGATTTCTATCTGAATGTTAGGTGACGTGTCTCCCGATATCCGAGCGATCAGGAACTCCCACGTGATAGTGACGACTCCCGAGAAGTGGGACGGCATCAGCCGCTCCTGGCAGACCAGGAACTACGTGCGGGATGTCGCCCTCATCGTCATTGATGAAATACACCTGCTGGGGGAGGACAGGGGCCCCGTACTTGAAGTTATTGTCTCCAGGTAACTGAAGATTTACTTTCACCACCATACATGCTTAATATACATTTATTTAAAAGTATTTCTTAGTATATATTATGTTAGAGTGTGCACCTTGTGTGTTGTGCGGACGACTGTTTCGTCAATTCAACTGTTTAGTTGCACAACTAAAAATCGAGTAGTATGCGCAAATATAAGCTCATAGGAATTAAAGCGAAACTAAATAGTTTTGCGATAGTTTAATCAAGGTGTGTGTACCTTAATCTGGTCAGTAAAAGTTTTTAATTTTGATTGTCAACTGATCTTTTCTTTTAATTTATAAAATCGCTTTACACCACTGATTTACAGTACCTAAAATTAATACTGCATGCAAACCCATGTAATATTCTTATCTTATCGTCTAAATAAAAATAAATAAAATAGGTTTTAATAATTTATTAATGTTGTTTTTCAGAACGAATTTCATAGAATCACACACATCAAGACGTCTCCGTATAATCGGTCTGTCGACGGCGCTCGCCAACGCCAAGGACTTGGCCAACTGGCTCAACATCGGCGAAATGGGGCTATACAACTTCAGACCGTCAGTCCGACCTGTACCTTTAGAGGTATAGCTCACAATGAAACTAATGTCTTCTTAAATAACAATATATCTGAAGTACGGAACTCTGTGAAAACACAATTTCATCCAGACATTTAAGAAATGTATACACTAGACATAGTGAATATTTTATCACTGGTAACTTCTTTGAGAGGTTATTATTGACGTGTTAAATAACATTTTACAAAATTGTAATAAACTCCAAAAGATTGTTATAAAGTAAACTTAACAGTTTAAAAAAATATAAGTGACCTATTGTCTAATAATTCAATTATTATATTGATGTGGTTTCGATGCGTTATTGAGATTATGTTAAAAGTGTCAAATGAAGTGTCAACTACGCTTACTTTATATATATATTTTGAATCTCTTTGATTTCATCTCCCTTATCATAGAAATAATAAAAAAAGGTTTAATTACAATTTGTACTGCAGTGTAGTTGGATAGTAACATTAATATTGGTATAGGTGCACATATCTGGCCACCCCGGGCGGCACTACTGCCCGCGCATGCTGAGCATGAACAAGCCCACGTTCCAGGCCATCCGCCAGCACTCGCCCTGCTCGCCCGCGCTCGTCTTCGTCTCCAGTAGACGGCAGACCAGGTAACACACATCGCATCATATGCTAAGTACTATTCATTCCATAGACACAATGTAAACTAATGCAGTCTAGTCCAATTTAGTGTAGTCTAGTCCAGTGCAGTTCAGACTAGTCCTGTTTAGCTCAGTCTAGTCCAGTTGAATATAGTCTAGTTCAGTCTAGTCCGATTTAGTCCAGTTTAGTCCAGTTTAGTGCAGTCTAGTTCAGTCTAGTCTGATTTAGTCTAGTTTAGTCTAGTTCAGTCTAGTCCGATTTAGTCCAGTCTATTCCGGTCTAGTCTAATCTCATCTCATTTTATTTCAAATTCCTAGTTTATATTCTTTTTACAGATTAACAGCACTGGATCTTATAGCATATTTGGCTGCAGAAGACAACCCAAAGCAATGGCTGCACATGCAGGAGTCGGAGATGGAACAGATTCTATCGAACATTCGAGAGTCTAACCTCAAGCTGACGCTGGCCTTCGGTATCGGCATTCACCATGCAGGACTGCACGAGAAAGATCGCACTACGGTCGAAGAGTTGTTTGTTAATCAGAAGATTCAGGTTAGTGATATACAGGATGATACTTAACGGACGGATACCAAGTATAAAGTATGTTACCATTTTTTTTTCAAATATTTAAATTGCTTTCAATCTATAGAAAATTGGGCAACATACTTTGCGCTTAAACGATAGTTGTTGAGGTCCTCTACTTCCACAAAGCTTGTGATTTTTAAAAATCACCCTATATAAGCCCATTTAGATTTAATAGTTGAATCCAGTTCCTTCTATTGGTTTAATAAATACAAAATTAAACTTAAAGTGTATTGTTATAAGGTTCTAATTTGTACGGCGACGTTGGCGTGGGGCGTCAACTTCCCCGCGCATTTGGTAGTCATCAAGGGAACAGAGTACTTCGACGGCAAGCAGAAGAGATACGTGGATATGCCCATCACTGATGTACTGCAAATGATGGGCAGAGCTGGTAGACCTCAGGTTAGTTATGTTTTCTATGAATATACAAAATCGCAAGGCACAGCTAGAAACGATCCTACCATAGTGAATAGCATACAAAAACATGTAAAAATATATAGACAAGGCATGCTGATTTTTTTTACTGGTACTTTCTGTGATAGGTACTATATCAGTTGTCAAGTTTAGTGCCACCTCGTGTCCTTGTAATAAAAACATTTTACAAAATTGTACTAAGCCTGAACGACATTTAAAAAACATATAGACACGGCATCAGTTGTCAAGTTTAGTACGCATCTTCGTGACCTTGTATTGACATGTGATAAAACACTATAAAATTTTGGTATAGAATAAACTAAACAGTGTTTAAGAATACAATACAAACATTGAAATATTACTTAATGACACCTATTGACAATTAATGGTTTTCAGGATCTAATCGTTGGATGTCGTTAACATCAATGTCATCATCGTCATCATCATCTTCATCGACGTCGATGGCGTTAACATGTGAAAAAGTCGCAATTGAAGTGTCATTTATGCCCACTCTATACATTTTCTGAATCACTTTGCATACTACTTAATTTAATACCTGTACTCTTTTAGTACGACAACGAAGGCGTCGCTGTAGTGTTAGTCCACGACCAGAAGAAGAACTTTTACAAGAAGTTCTTGTACGAGCCGTTTCCCGTTGAGTCCAGTCTCCTCGAAGTGTTGGCTGATCATCTCAACGCTGAAATTGTTGCTGGTATAGTATTATATCAGGTTTTTTTAGACTGTAATTACCAGAAGTTGTATTTATAAAGCACCGATAGCCTAATGGTTTGGGGTACAGATACCGATCTTGCAGTCGAGGGTTCGAATCCCGTCATTCGACTATTGTCATGAAACATATCCTAGCACAAATTAATAGTTAGTTGTGTTTCGAAAGTGCAACTAATGTAATAAACGCGAAAGATTAGATGGATGGATGGATGTTTTAAAAGATATTTGCAGAACGGCTTAATGTATCTTGATAAAATTTGGCACATATAGATCATAGTCTGGAAAAACATAGGGTACCATTGTTTTTTAAATCCGCGGACAGAGTCGGGGTTTACAGTTAATAATAATATTCCTAACGTTTTTAAGGTACTGTACAAACGAAGCAAGATATTCTAGACTATTTAACATGGACGTATTTCTTCCGTCGCTTACTGAAGAATCCTTCGTACTACAACTTGGACAGTCTGGAGCCACAAGACGTCAATTACTATCTCTCCAACCTCGTACACACTCGACTTGACGCCCTACTTAATGCTAACTGTATTCAAATTGAAGAGGTAAGCATTTATATAATTTTATAATAATTATCCATACTAATGTAATAAAGAGAAAATATTTGTGTGTTAAACACTACTGGGCCGATTTAATAAATTATTTACACCATTAAAAGCTATGTTATCAGTGACTAGCAAAGACTATGGTTTTTTATTATTTCTTAGTTTTACCCGGACAAAGTCGCGAGCAACAGCTAGTCAATAGTTAATTTATATTTTTGTTAGTGTGAGAAGAAAGAACGAACTAATTTGAAAGAGAATTTGAAAAAAAATGAATTGTATTTCTGTCTATGACTTTTACTTCCGTTTTGTTTAAAAATAGATTTTTAGTTTGATTAATGGATTCAGTAAAAGTTTTAGTTCGACTATTTTAAGCTTTAATAGTAATCAATTATTATTACCTTTCTGTAGATATTTTTGCCGGACAATAAAATAAAAACTGTATACTTCCGTACAAAAGTAACTTTTAGGTTATTTCCTGCTATTCTTCTGTTAGAAATACATTAATAAGTTATCATTTGTATCCAGGATGAACGCACGCTGCACAGCACTTGGATGGGTCGTATTGCATCTTATTACTATTTATCTCACAAGACGATGGCTCACTTCAACGAGCACTTGCACGCCAACATGAACACTGACGACCTGCTGCGTGTGCTGGCTGACTCTGAGGAGTTCGCCACATTGCCAGTCAGGCATAATGAGGATATACTTAATGGGTGAGCGATTTATTAAGTTATATTAAGTTTTATGGTACTGCATGTTTTTACAGGCAAGTACATGTGTGTGAGATTTAGTCTGAGACTGAGACCGAGACCGAAAGCTACGTCTAGATCTACTCCGAGACTGAGACCAAGTACAAGACCATGACCGAGAGCTACAGCTAGACCCATTGAAAGACTCAGACCGATTTTAAGACCAAGACCGAAATAAACTCTGTTAACATCATACGAATCACGCTTACTTATATTTTCTCGTTGTCACCCATTGTTCAATATTCTTGATGAATTATTTTTTTTCTTTAAAAATAGCTTGCACTTCTCCACATCAATTTTAATTGAATCAAACTTGTTCATCCGTTCGTTATTTCCTTAAAAAGGGGGTACAAATATCTTTTAACGTGTATAATGATTTAATTCTACATTTATTAATTTACAGGGAGTTAGCGCAACAATGTCGTCTGCCGGTAGACTCGTTGTCTCTGGACTCGTCGAATGTGAAGGCATTCCTCTTACTGCAGGCTCACCTGACGCGACTCACGCTGCCCAACACTGACTACTTGACTGACACTAAGTCTGTGCTAGATCAAACTATACGAATATTACAGGTACTCTCTTAACTTAATACTAGCTTAAGATAACAATATTCAGATAAAATGCTTACTTAGGACTTCAAGCAACTTATTGGGGATTTATAGTGAAGCTGGTGATAAATAAATAAATTAAAACATTATTTATTGGCCAAGAAAAAAACAAAACACAAAAAAATAACAACAAAACAAAATTTACAGAAATAAAAAAAAATGATATAAATAATATTGACAATCATAAACTACTGGTTTATACAAACAAGTTTTGAACTGTATTTTGATAAATAATTATTGAAATATTGGCTAGTATCAATTTTGGAGTTTGTAATCACCTATAATCTACAAATAAAAATATCTTTACTAATAAAAGGATTTGTATTTTTATATGTAATTAATAAATTCGAAAACTACTACATTGTTTGCAAAAATTCTTTTACCATTAGAAAAGTACATTATTACTGAGTAACATAGGGTTATTTTTATTACTAGATTATTTTTAAACTAAAACTATTTTTAACTGACTTCAAATAGGAAAGTTCTTTGATCGGTCCTTTATGTAAATCGATTACGATGCGATTTACGTGATTTTTGTTTCAATACATTTGAATAGTTGCCATATGGTCAAACTGCCCAGTAGTTTTTGAGTTTTATTTAATTGTACCAATAATCGTTTTTTTTTACTTTTTTTTCTGTTACCTAGGCAATGATAGATACCTCAGCGGAGAACGGTTGGCTATCGGTCTGTCTGTCGTGTCAGGTAGTGATGCAGTGCGTGGTGCAGGCGCGCTGGCCCACTGACTCCCCGCTCACTATTCTGCCGCACGTCGATTCACAACATTTGTATATTTTCTCACAAATTACTCAAGATACGAATAAACCGTGTATAATGTTGAATGGACTGAAGGTGGCTTGTATGAGGAATTATGAGTTATTAGCTAAGTATAGCAGGAGAGAGTTTGAAGAGTATCAAATTGAGCAGATACATAAAGTAAGTTTTGTTGCTTTTTCAAGTATTTTTGGAGTATCATTCCAGTATTAGAGGAACCTTTTTAGTATGATTTTAGACTATTTTTTTAGAGTGTCCTTGTAGCGAAACTGAACAAATAAAGTTGAAAAAAATTCTTAGTAAATTTATAAAATATTTTTTTGTTATTTAAGCAGGACATAATGTAAGTTTCCATTTGCAGGCAATTTGTGACCTTCCGACCTTAGACATAAGGTTGAAAATCCGTGGCTTGTGGTTCGACAGCGACTGCGAGCAAGAGAAAAGGATACAACAGTCGCCTGGGAGAGATTCCTGGCTTCCATTACATGCTGAACAGGTGAGAAAATTATAATAAAACTTGCTGTTCTATATATCTTCATCCGCATGAATTTATAAAAAAAAATATTCTTTACATTTTACAAATTCTCAATTGCAAATGGCAACATTAAATACGCTAATGGCAACAAAGGCATTTGAAATTAATTAGCTAACAAGTACCGTTACCGTGGCAACATTGCTTTCTTGATGTCAGTTTGTAGTTTTTATTCCTATCCAACATGAAAGTTTTTTTTAATTTATTTACCCTTTAAGTTTAATTTCGTGAAAATACATAGCTTAAAGCGTGTCGTAAATCCGAGGTTTTTTTATTAAAGTAGGAATTATCCAAAATTTGCTGTAATTGTCGACATCCTACAAAGTAATGTGTTTACGTTTTATTATGTCAGTATCTTACTGATATTAGTTTAGATGGATGGATGGATATTTGTTAGAGTTTGCCTAAAATGCCTAAAAGGATGAACGGATCTCGATAAAGTTTTGCATAGATGTAGAGTATAGTCTGGAAGAACACATACTTACTTTGTTTTTTTTTTTTTTAATTCGAGCGGGCGGAGTCACGGGCGAAAGCTAGTTAAATATTAATTCAAACATTTACATTGCAGGAATACACCTTACTAATAGAGATGGAGCGTCGCGGCGGCAACCCTAACAACGTGTTATGTCCTCGTTTCCCTCGCGGCAAGAACGAGGGCTGGTTCCTGACGCTGGGCGACACGGAGCGCGGCGAGCTGCTCGCGCTCAAGCGGGCCCCGCCCCGCGGCACCGCGCCCCTCGCATTCTACACACCATCCATCACTGGTAACTAATAAGCTGCCCTTATTAATAACTTTTGAATATATCAAAGAGTATATATATATATATCTGTATATATCATTGATTGTTTTTTTTAAATGAATTTTTGAAGTTGAAATTTCGACTTATTTTGAAAAAATCGAAAAATCTGGATTACTCGAAAATGGTCAACTTTTGTGTAAAATATGTAGGGGTCAAAATTATCACAAATGATCCCCCTCTATCATCCCCACATGGGAATACGTCTAGTTACCAATAACCCTGTATATAAATATATTATAAAAAAATATACATATAATATATTTTTAGTTGACCATTCACTTGAGACAGTTTTCATCATCACCAGCTCACTATACGTCCCCACCGAGAGGCTCGGAGCCTATCCTAAGTAAGGGGTAACTAGGCCATAGTCAACCACGCTGGCCAAGTGCGGGTTGGTTGACTTCACACATATCTTTGAATTTCTTCGCCGATATGTGCAGGTTGCATCACGATGTTTTCCTTCACCTTCACAGACAGTTTTCATATATTCCACTAACTCTGTTGGTACCAAGTCAATGTAATTAATTGCCAATACGTGGCTGTTTATGTTTTATATTTTACACTTGTTTATTCTGTAACAAAAGTAGATGATGGTACTATGTCGTCAAGTTTAGTATTACCTCGTGTCTGTATTGACATGGTATAAAACATTATACAAAATTATAATAAGCTCCATCTTGTGTTATAAAATAAACAAAACTGTGTTACAAAATAAAACATTTATTTATAAAATAAAATGTGATAACTTCTATTTTATAATTTTTTTAAGTTATTCATTTGTTTGATTATTGCCTTTAGATGGATAATAAATATACACTAAGCTCCTGAGGGAGCCCTCGAGCCTAGTTACTCATAAAAGAGGTTTAGGCTAAGTGCCATCCGCGCTGGGCCACCTCAAGCCCGGTGAATCGGTAAATGCCTCTTCAAGGCAAACAGTGACAACTCAGTCACAAAAAAAAAATTACACTAAGGGATGGTCAATTGTGAATATTTAAGAATTAGTATAGTAAATTGATTTCCAAATTAAAATTTAAAAGTTGTGCTTTAATTCTCTTGTTCTTTCAGTTAGCACATATACAAAATACTGTTGTTTCAGTGTTTCCCATATAAAATGAAAGAGATGGCTGTCATTAGATTAAAATTAAATATTTTGTTTCAGGTCGCATCATATACACATTGTATATCCTAAGTGACAGTTACCTAGGTCTGGACCAGCAGTACGATCTGCAGTTCGAACTCATGGACCCCCTGCCTCCGGAGACTGTCGATACTGTATATGACCCCGGGGAGAAGATTATTACTGAATAATTTATTACAAGAATAAAGTTTTATTTATGTTAATATTTGTTTTATTACTATGAATGTATTGTTCGTAGTTCTGCCTACAACTCTAAGGCATAGAATTATCCTATAAGACTTATTTTCTGACTATTAAATCTTTTTCAAACTAAATACAATATGAAACAAGAAACAACTGGGTTTTCAGAACCATCTTACTATTGTAACAAATGCGAAAGTTTAGATGAATGTTAGAGTTTGTAGCCTAAACTGCTAAACGATTTCAATGAAATTTAGTATAATAGTAGAGGATAGCCTGGAAGGTCGCATAGGCTACTCATTTTTGCTATTTTTAATTCCTCGCGAACGGATTCGCGGGCGAAATCTTAAAGTTTAGTATTAAACCAGTATATTTAGTTTTAGACAACTTATTTAATTGATACCGTCGCTTTAAAATCAGAGCAACACTTCTCGTCAAGACTCAAGTTGCGCGCCAATCTATCCATACTTCTAGTGACATTGACAGCTGTCAGCTAGGGACGTGACGTTTATGCCGATAATATAGAGTTGCGCCAATTCTATAGCACGGTACTAATTTTGTTCCTAACAGTTCGGCCATCCTGCATATCTTTTCGTCCTCGAAGGAGTACTACACCTCGCCGCACGATACGTCGTTCCATCGGCCCCGAGGAGCTGATGTAGCTCGACCAATTGCAAGTATCGTAAACAATGTATAGTCCTGTAAGCAGATTTTAACCCCGAAAGCTGTTCACAGGCTCCCGAAGGCACAAAATAAGCTCGGAGGCTGTTTGTAGGCTCGAAGGCTCAACATAAGCCCGGAAGGCTGTGAATAAGTCCTGTAGGCATAAAATAAGCCCAAAGGCTGTGGATAGGCCTCGAAGGAATAACATAGGCCCGAAGGCTGTGGACAGGTCCTGAAGGCATAACATAAGCCCAAAGGCTGTGGTTAGGCCTCGAAGGCATAACATAGGCTCGAAGGCTGTGGTTAGGCCCTGAAGGCATAACATAAGCCCAAAGGCTGTGGATAAGCCTCGAAGGCATAACATAAGCCGAAGGCTGTGGATAGGCCCAAAAGGCTCTGGATAAGCCTCGAAGGCATAACATAAGCCCGAAGGCTGTGGATAGGCCCAAAAGGCATAACATTAGCCTGCAGGATTTTTATAGGGCCCGCAGGCAAAACATAAACCCGTAGGCTTTTATAGGCCCCGTAAGCAAAACATAAGCCCGTAGGCTTTTATAAGCCATTCTTTCAGACTTCACAAGCCCCGAAGGCACACCATAAGCCCTTAGGCTTTATTCATTTACTTTTTTTTTTCACCCGCCCTGTAGGCACTTCATAAGCCCGTAGGCTTTTCACAAGCCCCGAAGGCACATCTTGCGCAAGGCGGCTGCTCATATGCCCCCACCAGCTGCTCATATGCCCCGAAGGCAACTCTTGCTCCAAGAGGCTGCTCATATACTCCGGAGGGAATTCATGCTCCCAGAGGCTGCTCATATAGTCTATAAACAAAACATTCGCCGGGAGGCTAATGATACGCCTCATAGGCAAAACATACGCCCGGAAGCTTATCATATGCCTCGTAGGCAAAAGATTAGGTTAATCTTCCTTAGTGGTGGTAACAGCCAATTGTAAACCATTCTCTGGTAAAACATTTATGGCACTAGCCCCTAAGGTATTACAAATAAATAATATTTCTTGGTGGTGATAACACCCAAGTCTAATTTACGCTCTGGGAAAGCATTTATGTTGCAAGCCCCTAAGGCATTACATAAAATTAACATTCTTGATGGTGGTAACACCCAATTCTAAATAAATCTCTGCACATACTTTCCTCACTAGCACTACAAAGTGTAATCTCCTCTTGTGCTACCACACCATAATATGCGTACTTGCCCCTAGTGGCTGTACTAACTGCTTATCTGTCACTTCACAACCTTCACCTTGTGGCCAACTTTGCCATAGATAAAATACTTAAGTATCTTGCTTGGGTTATTCTGAGCATCACATTTACATCAATCAAACATGTTATGAGTGTGTACCTCAAATTCTCTCAAATAATGTTTCATAGATGCCACATATTTTAATATGAATTAATATAATGACAACCGGCAGCTAATGCTCCAACTTCCACTTATTTGTCTCCAAGCCAATCAACACCTTCATTGGCTCTATTCTAACTTACAGAATATAAATAAAGTTTAAAACACCATTCCTTAATTGCAAGGTTGTGCAGACTACTGCAGCATTTTATAATTGATAATACCTCTGTTAACATATTACATAATCAAAATGACTACTGTTTTAATCATAACCTGTTAAAGTGTTAAATCTGAGTACAATCACAGAAATCTAATTCTGTTTTGGTTAATTATACTATGTCATACACTTCCAAACAGTAGTAAAGTTTATGTCATTCATTAAAAACTGGTTTATTTACCCATTGCTTGTTTACATCATCAACATCAACATCAGCCAGCCCTAAGTCTGAACTGTACTGTACTGCTAAACCAAAATATGTATTTATTTCAACATTTATTTCAGCTGATACACCAAACTAACAAATTAATGTCTCCAAGCAATTTAACACATACCTCAGCTAACCAGCTGCTTTTGTGTAAATCAAAGTAATAAAAATCAACTATAGTACCTGGTATCCATACCATCCTTTGGATGTAACCATTTAGCTTCGCTGTGCATTTATACACTACTAGCCTTACATGCATCAGCTCCCAGATCCTTCAGCCAGTGATCCCTCAACACCACTGCTGTCTGTGGGCTGAACTCCATGACAAAACCACTCCAACCCACTTCACACATCCTTTTACTGTACAGATTTCCAACCATAGTTGACCATTCTGTACATTTAATAATACTGTTAATTTAAAACATTTATCTCAAAACATAACACAATATAGCATGTAGCTGTAACCTACGTTACAGCCTCTTAAATTTATCTTAAAACCAAATATGTATTTTAGCATTCCACGCACAACTTTTTAATTACAAACATAAAATCAAAATGTGTGTTTTAATATTTCCACAACAGATTTGTATCTTAACATAAAATATAACTTGATTTTAAATCAATTCTACACAATTTGTTCCTTCATCAATTTAAGTTATAAAATCAAGATCAGAATAGCAATTAAATCATCATCTCTCACCCTTATACCATTCCCTTAGGGTCGCTGCCTATCACAACCAGAATAGCAATCAAATAAATGCTATAATGTTTCAATTGTAAAATGATGAAGTTCAATTTATAATTCTTTTGGCTTATTAATAACAAAACTTTTGTAAACATAACTTTACGTTTCCAAAATTATCCACTTACGTGAAATGTTTCGGAAATTCTTAGAAATCACTCAGATTTTATATGGATAATCAAAAACATGGAACAAACTCACCAAATATGTAGATTTCCACTAACAATTTGCATTACAATACAAAGTTTGCAGTTTATCAAAAATATGAAGTTCTCAACATTCTATAAAAGTATTGAAACTGTAATAAAAACTATTCTCATATAAATACCACTTTGTGTGGTTGGTTAAATCCCACTTCTGAAACTATTAGACAACTTAGGGTGAGTTGCATCAAATCGCCGGTTATCGTAAAAGTTATAATAGGGTTACAAGTGCAAAAACATATTCTCACAGAGGTTTTATGTATTTTTCGTTTTTACAATGGAAACATTTAAACCTGAATGTCACTAAAGTGTCAAGTTGGTGTCAAGAATGACATTTACGTAAATTAAAATGTTTGAAAATTCATGTTTCGCCGATTATATTTATGTATCATACGCATGGTATTTTATAGTGAAATAAACTTTTTGCCCACGAAGATGGAGAAAATGGCAAACTCTTGTGAAAATAAACTAGTTTGGGCCATTATTGAAACTGTATTTACTTTACTATTCAAATATGTAGCAAAAATGAAGCAATAAAATTATACAAATATAAATGCATCTTATTTGTTTTCCATATTATAAATTGTCCTGTCAATGCATATTATAAATTGACCTTTTATAGAGGACATTTTTTTAAATAAGAGAAAAGGGACAAGCGCTGTTGCTATGGCCTTAGACACTCGAAATTTGTCCAAACTGAATGTTTGGCCAAATTTCGAGTTGGATCTTGGAAATCCATTATTTCCGAGCACGTAAGACTTTATTCTTCTGGATAACGTATAGGATAATAGTAGAGATTTTCTTTTTCCATTACTTTTTCCATTATTTGTACTTTTGAAGATAAGAGCTTGTGACAGTTGACACTACCGAACTGACACTAACCGTAACGCTAACTATAACCGCCCAAAATCGGGCGGTTATGATTAGTGTCAAATATGACGTCATTTTGACCAGCGCAAAACTGGTGTAGCGAATATCATGAACATCCGAAGACGTAACCATCGGGAATGTGCTGGTTAAGGTTTATAGTTAGTTAATGTAACTCATCCTTAGTAAATTTTAAGGTTATTCCAAATATTACTGTTACAAATAATTTTAACTTTAACGGTAACCGGCGATATGGTGCAACTCACCCTTATTAATTGATACTGTCGCTTTAAACTCAGAGCAACACTTCTCGCCAAGACTCAAGTTGCGCGCCAATCTATCCAATCCATACTTCTAGTGACATTGACAGTGACAGCTGTCAGCTAGGGACGTGACGTTTATGCCGATAACATAGAGTTGTGCCAATTCTATAGCACGGTGGTACTAATTTTGTTCTTAACATTAGTGAACGCCTGGAATTCAGGAAACTTGAGACTAGTCTACTGATATATAGTTGTTACCCAAATAAATTATTTTGCTATTCAAGCACCTACAGGCGCTTGACGTTAAAATTAAGTAATGTTATTGTTTGTACTATATTCCCTATAGTTTGTCTAAATAAAATAGATTAGTTTGATAAATAACGCATATGTATGAATTCAATTTGTATGAAGGCAAATGCCGTATTTAATAGACAGGTATCATAGTTACGAAAGATACAAGCACAGCGAACAATTATGAACTATCAATATTCGGTTTAAATGAAATTTATCGAACCTAACTAAATTATTATTTTCTTATTAACTAATTTAGAGGACAATTATAGTGTAGAGAATTTAGCGATGACAAGAATAACGAAATCCAATTCGATTACGTACGGCTGTAGTAGTAATAAATATTTATTTAATCTCATTATTTGTAATGGTTCTACAGGTCATTATAAATTTGATAAAACAGTGTTTTTTTTTAAATTCATAAGTTATAACTATGAATCTATCGATTCCAACTTTAATAAGAATAAAAATAGAAAATCGTAAAGGTTCATGCCTGATTTTACGCAACCCCCTACTAAATTGTCAAACTAATCAATCTTGTTTAGACAAAGTATAGGTGGACTTGTTTGGAATTAAATCACAGTTTATTTGTTGAAATTTGCTTTATTTTACTGAAGCAATATTATATTATAGGTTACAGGTAGCACACCTAGGGATCATAAAATTATCTACGATCTTTTTATAACGATTACACTGATTATGTTGTATTTATAACAGTAAATATTAATTTTCGACTTACATTCGACGGGTATAATTCAAATCTGGACGTTTAGCATGAAAATTGCGAGAAAGTATCGATGACGTTACGATTTTATCGCCAATTTTCATGCTAGACTCCCAGTTAATCAGAACAAGGTAATTTGAGGTTACTATACACGTTTAAATCTGTAATAATTAACTAATCTATTAAACCTTTGGTCTAATATTATTTTGCAAAGAATTTGTTTACGTAATGCAGGATATTTCAATGTAACTGGGTCTACGATTACTTGTAATCTATCCAAACGTGCAAACCATTTACGTACTATATTGAATTTCTATTCCTACTTATTACGTAGGTACTCGATTCATTCCATACATATATTTATACTTGAAATAAAGTATTATAAATATTCATAGAAATACTACTAGTCTAATTATTGAGACATGTTAAAATAAAATAATAAATGTATTTGGAATGTTGTGTCGTTATGTTTATGAGAACGAGATCATAGTTTTATTTTTGCTGTAAGCCTGATATTCATTTTGATAATACTAAACAATCTTAACTTTTTATAAACAAGATCTCTACAATTAGACCAACAGTATGTTGCGCATTTATGTTTTAAAGACATCAAATGTTAACGAGAATATGTTTGCAACATATCCTACAAAAAATATTTCATGCAATAGACAGATGCAATAAAAATTAACTTGCCGTTTTGGATTAATATAATGAAGCTTTTCAATTAACTTAAATGCCTTTATAACATAAATGCAGCGATCTTAGACTAAGCCCATGACAAATCTGGTGTATTTTTCATTTACCTTACAGTGAATTTAGAGCCACAATTTTTGAAACACGACAAGATATAGTAAGGTTAGAAAAGATAGCAAAAAAAAAAAATAATTCCATTACACAAAAAATGTCTTGTAATATTTAGAGATGTTTGAAAAAAATGTTTAAAGAGCGTTTCAAAAATAGTGGTCGTAAAGTTGCGAAATTTCGCTGATAAATATGTATTTCTATATTACACATGTAGCTAGAATACACATCTAAAAAGTTTCAACAACAATGAAGTGCAGTAACACAATTTAGCTTTAAAGCTATAAATATTTAAGAAACAATATTTCAGATAAAATTCAGGTTTTCGATTTTACGAAACTTCTCTATTTTTTTCTGGGTATTTAAAAAAAATGTTTTTTAGAGTTGTTACTTTTACAGAAGACTGTTATAAACCGGTAAATAGTAATATCTGAAAGATATTTTTTACTGTTTTAAACACAAAAATTTTTTTTTTTGAGCATTATATTAAAACGCTCTGAACAAAATTTCATTTCACAATCATACGTGTTTTTTCTGAATTTAAATATGGTACACAAAATTATCACCAATTTTATTCGTAATTATGGGCCTTGGATTCAATTATAGCAAGAAAATATTGATTCCTCTTGCTTAGCAATTAATATAGAAAATTATACAAAAAATAGTAGTACAAAAATATGTAATTGTTTTAAGATATAAATGAATAATAGAAAGAGGTAAATTTTTTTATATAAATAAGGAATAGGTCAAAATTTTGTGAGGTAGTTTATGTTGCTTTTTATATTTTGATATCTTCTTCAAAAATAAGCAATAAATCCCATCCATTAAATGATAAGTATTGTATTTCCATATTTAAATTCAGAGATTGCTAAACTGAAAATTGCCATAAAAGAGTCCAAATGCTGATATCAATACTGTTCTCCGGTATTCTTATCGGAATTACCGAAGAGCATAATATATCTTATAAAGTATATAGAAAGTTGTTACAAAAATAAAGAAATTATACAATACCAAGCTATAACCGATATTTTGCCTTTTTTTACAAACATTTAATGTTATAATTGGCTAATAAACATTAAAAATATATTTTTAAAAATTATTCCAACATAACTATGAGGTGTGATATATAGACAAGCCTTAACTAGTACTAAGTGGTTAGGATATTGATTTTTAAGGTAAATTTTTAAACAAAAAAGATCGTCTAAAAATACTCTATTTAGATTTATCAGTTTTAATGAAAGTGACGTAAGTAGGACGCGTGAAATGTTTTAGTATGCTATAGGTTAAATATGTAATGGAAATATGTAGTCAAATGTTCGAAACATTATTTTTATATATTTGTTATTTATAAATTGAGAACATTTCAATAAACACTTAAATTTAATAAAAAGAATGTAACGCTGGCACCAGCATCGATGTTAAATGGTACCTGAAACATTATTTGATATTAACATATAAGTAATTTTTATAGCTTAACGTAATATCGGATAGCAAAAATCTAGCGTAATTAATTGTAAGATTAACGTAAGAAGTTTTAAATTTCAACACAATGTGTGAATTTTGCATTTGAGCGTCGGTAGCTCAGTGATTTGAGCACTTGACTTGTAATCTACAGATTTTAGGTTCGAGTCCCGCCATGTACCAAAGTGATTTTCGATTTTTCGAATTTTCATATGTACATAATTTACCCGACGTTCTTACTGTAAGGGAAAACATCGTGAGGCAACCTGCACAAATCGGCGAAAAACTCCACGATATGTGTGAAGTCAACCAACCCGCACTTGGCAAGCGTGGTTGATTATGGCCTAGTCATCCTAACTTAGAATAGGCTCCGAGCTCCTCGGTGGGGACACATAGTGAGCTGGTGATGATGATGTGTGAATTTTGTTGAAAAAAAATACGCACATGTATAAAGTTCAAACCTAAACCTCATCACCAGCTCATTATACATCGCCACTGAGGGCCTCGGAGCCTACCCTTTTTATTTTTTTTCCGAAGGGGAATGCTTTCTGCATACTCCATGCCTCTGGGCAGACACGAGAGTTATGTGGGACTCTCCCCCCATAGTGGGGGGCATACCTTACTAAACCCCTTCGTTCCCTCCTGGCCATTGTGTGGGACGCCACGGGATCGCTTGCGCTTGCCACCGCGACGCCCCACTGACCGCCCCGGGAAGGGGCCCTCGGTGCGTCCCAACGAGTTGGGACGCTGCACCCTAAGGCGCTCCTCGGAAGACGGCACCGTGCAATGCAGGTTCGGAGCCTACCCTAAGTTAGGGGTGACTAGGCTATAGTCAACCTCGCAAGCCAATTGCGAGTTGACGGTTGATTGGTGTAGGTTGCATTACGATGTTTTAGAAGTTTGTTGAAGAACGTCGGGTAAATGTATATATGAAATTTGAAATCGAAAACTACAGTTTGTATCCCAGATTCTAAAGATTTCAGGTATAGTGATTAATCGCTGAGAGTCACGGATCATCTAAATAACTCTAATCTTAGCAATTAGTTTCATAAAAAGCATAGTAAAGTCGCTTAAATATATTTAAATATAACAAATGGATTATTACGTCGTATTTAGTAATACCATATGTAAATACGTACGCAGCTATAATCCTCCTTGGGTGTTTACAGACCTAGAAAATATTAAAATATAATTATTAATAATGCCTAATTCATATTCCAAAAAGTTAGGTTAGAAATTCTTTAAAAATATTCATTTTATTGTTATTTACTTAAGCTTTGAATTACATACTTTTGTAATGTAATGAACAACAGCAATTTAGTCCCACGAATGTAATATGTTAACAGCAAATATGTTGGTTATACATTTTTTGGCTTTTAGCAAATTATGTTTTACTTTACGGCTTTGTTAAAAATTTAAATATCTGATAATCTTGATGGTTTTGGGATTTTTATTTTAATAACATTAAATATTGCAAAATCAAATTTGTTATTCAAAGCGGAAATAAACTGGGGTTAAGTTGGGTAAGCATCGCATTCTTGGAACAAGAAGATCAAGTTTGTTTTTAAGCAATTCCATAAGTTCTAAGTTTTATAGCTTGTTATATAGAAGGTCTCTTCTTAACGACATAAGTAACATTTATATGTATAGAGCAATTTGACACAAGAAAAACAACGCTGCAAAATAAAGCTTGAAAATTTTATAAGTTAACTATTCATGTAAAAATCGTGACTTTTATGTTATAACTTAAATTGTATGTTTAGTTGGGAAATCTATACTATTATAATAAAGCGAAAACACACACTTCTTTGTGGCCTAAGCCTGTGCGTTTACAGCATGTTTTTGAATAATTCTTTTTTTTCTTTCAAACTTTAAGCTATATGTTTTCACGCCATTAAACTTAGGAGGTAAATATTTTGGATAAAAACCCTAATGTGGGAAAGAGACCATAGGTTGTTGCCAACATCAAGGAAGCAAGGTTGTTATCATGTCATGTCACTTTGTCATTTGCAATTAATATGACAAATGTAAACAATAAAATAAAATTTTATGCGAATGAAGCCGCACGGGAACAGCTAGTCTCTTATAAGCTACAACTATTCGTACTCATTGAGGACAGGGAACAATAACTAATAGGAAACAGCTTTTAAATATATCTGTGCGGAAAAAGGAAGACTTTTTAGTGTTTTAGTTCTTGGTTTCCACTACTCACTGGTAAGTAATTCACCAAAAACGAGAAAAGGCGAAGTTTGTTTGCTTCCGAGGTACTAGGCGTTTTTTTAGATAGATGCACACTACAAATTTTCGCTACTGTACATATTTCTTACTGTACCCCCTTTATTAGATTTAATATAATATCGTTAACATATTTATAGCATGAGTATCTAAGCAAAATCTTAATAAGTTAATCATAGAAACAAAGTAAATATCCAAATGCAAGGCACATTTGTTGCTTGTAATTAAAGAGTCACGATTTTTATAGATAGTGAACTTATAGGAGCATATATTAATTGTAAAACAGCATTTGAATAGAGACAGTACGAATACGAAGTGAAAGAACAGACAAAGCGAACATTTACAACGACATAACACGTTACGCCCACTTACCAAAGGAGGCTTAGTACCAACCAACATAGTAAATATAAAAAATAACAACATACGTCATATATCTAGTCTTTAACGTTAACAATTAACTTCTAAATTAAACTTCGATTACCGAAACTTGTTCACATAAAGTTGGCTGAAAAATATGGAGAAAATAATGATATGATTAGTCTAAAACATAATTAATATTTTAAAACATAAGAGTGACATTCTCTATGTGCGAGAGAATGTTTTATTGATTACTTACCGATGATTAGAGCCAAAATGATGATGCCAATCACAGCGGCGATTATCATCATCTGAAATGTGATTGCATGTAGTTTAAATACACTATTTACATGAAAAAAAAAACAGTATTTAAGACGCTTAGTACCACCGCCACACTGCGAGTTCACTTTTGTACTTAAACATGTGCACTAAATGTGTTAAAGAATCTTTATCTGTTACCTTTAAGTTTTGCAACCAGAATTTGCTTTTCAGTTTACCAGCTTGTTGCTCGAACTGTGATGCGCCCTGCTGGAGAGCGTCTGAAACAAATGAATCGTAAATTCATGTATTTGTTATGTTAGTTCATTACATTAATTTTTGAGTGTTGTTAAAATCGTGTTTTAATTATACTTTGCTATATCTTTCAAAAGCTCTTACAAAAATACGAAGATTTTTACGGATTTACCGTTCATAACCTTTATGTCAGCTTGTTTACTTTATCCAAGCTTAAAGGATTTGTTCGGACGACGTTGGTTTTAGGAGTGGCAGGCTTTGAAATGTATTTCGCAGTTTATGTCGGATACATCTTATATAAAAACATCTTGATACTCTTATTAATATTTTTAATGCTAAAATTTAGATGGATGGATGTTTGTTAGAGTTTGTAGTGTAAATCTCTCGATGACAATTGGGATAGATGTAGAAGATAGTCTGGACTAACATAGAGGCAACTTACTCTTATTTTTTTTAAAGTCACGCAGAATGATTCGTGGGCGAAAGCTAGTTCTAAAATGAATACTTAGTGTCAGTCCCACCTGCTCTGTCGTCTAACTCGGACAGTTTTTGATCTCGTTCCAGCACTTTCTCCACGTTTGTTTTCATAATATCAACCACCTGCGGATTTTATCGATCTTTAGTACAGTGTAAGATAATCAAACTCGACATATTGCTGAAAAATATTGAACTAAATCTTTGTGTACATTATGTAATGATGAAGGTGATTGAAGCGACCCTAGACCAAAATTTCTACATCATTGGTTAGGCTATAATCTGTTATAGTTCCAATTATCGCGCCATATAAAGCCATTTGGCCACATTGGAATCATTTTAAAAAGAACATACCTCATCGACTTGGGCCTGCGTCTGCTGCAGACGGCGCTGGGCAGCGATCTGCTGCGGCGTCTTGGGCCCACCCACCGGCATATCATCGCCGCCCGGCGCCAGACCGCCCTCTGTCGTCGCCCTACACAAAACGTTAGCAGAAAATAAATTTATTGCAGTACACGATTTGATTTTTTTTCAATAAAGACTTGATTCGTATTTATATGCAAATACTTGTTGTGAACCTTACTTAATTTAATACTGTAAAAGAATTTGCAGCCTTGCAAATAAACTTAGTAAAAAAGGTTAACTTAGTATAAGCAAAATTTGTACTAATATCTGCTTATACTTAGTTTATTCCAAAGTTTAACTAATGTTAAAGTTTAATTCTTTAGAATAAACAATGTTAATACTCGGAAAAACATAAGAAATTATAATAATACTGTGTAATTTTATTAGTAAGAAAATGTAGGCAAAGCTGCATTTTGTACAATAGTTTTGTACATAGTATGCAAACATTTGTTAATCTCAGCGCAAATGCGAATTGGGGCCACGCTTCTTAGATGTTCGCTTTGTTACGTGGCTGAGGAATTCTCTTCTAATTTGAGAAGTTCCGTCTACGTGAGACGAAGTTCTCTCATATCTCATTTGAAGTATTCTCGTCCCCTACAAGAGCACTCGTCGATTTTTACTTTCGACCTCGTAAGCTTGCCGCAGTAAAAAAGGGAAAAACCGATAAAGACGTATCTTTTACATCTTTTTTACCTTAAAAACAAAAGAAAACAGGAAACCTGGAATTCCGTTTAATGTCCTAAAGTACTAGGAAAAGATAAACGTAAACTAAACTTAGATGAATACTATTATAGTAGTTTTGAATTGAAAATAAACGTAATATTGTCGTGCAATCAAAATGACAAATACGTACAGCGAGGAAAATTGTGCGCGTATAACGTGCAATGAACACTTTCATGGCAAATTGGATTTCCGCTATAAATGGTACAGCTGACCAATTGAAATTGCATTGAAACCATTTTAAATTCTCTTATAGTATTCGTATATTCGATTTATTCCTGATTCAATTATATGTTAAATATTACGTTAAATGTATTATTTTTGCAAACGTTAAAATAGTGAAGACAATGCCTAAACACATTATTACCACCGTGCGTTAGTCTACAGCTGAAAATAGCCTCCTTCTCCTAGACAGTCCTCCACATCATTTATTTTGCTACGCTTATTTTATTAGAATGGTTGTGTGAGAGAATAATTTTCATAATTCCTTCGGACCGTGATAAAAAAAACTTACCATTTCGTTTGTCTAGAAAAAGTGAATTTGTGAAAATGTGCGATGCTAAAATTAAGCATCAGACGTAGTAAATTGAATGAGCAAAATTGGTTGGTACGTTGCCAAGTGGAAAGAACAACTTGTTACTTACATTCATTGTTCAATGTTACCTACCACTTGTAGAGAAAACTTTATATTCAACAGTTATAGCAACACACTACCAGATCTAAATTCGTTCATGGAAACGACGATCTTTTATGTACCTCATCAATATCTTTGTATTGACAACTTTTTAATCAATGAAATGTCCAGTATTTTAAATAAAACAAGATTCAGTCGTCGTCAGAAAAAGAAGGGATTTGTGAGCTTCTTTTGTTTTACACTAGCTTTTATTCCAGGACTCAGTCAGCGCGGGATTAAATAAACTTAGTAGTTTATGTGTTCTTCTAGATTGTACATTTGTGCCAAATTTAATCTAGATCTTCCTATTTACCGAACATCCATCCATCAAGCTTTCGTGTTCATTATTTAGCAAGATAAGTAAGAAGGAAGATAGTTAATTTTTAAACATTTTATATGTTCAACTATTTCTTATAATTTGACATTACTTACTCGTAAGTATGTTAATTATTAAGTATGAATATTGACTTAGTAAAATAACGAGCAGCTAGAGATATAAAACATACAAAAACTCTTAAGTACATGCTTTGAAAACCTATACAAGTGAACAGGTCAGAGAACATTAGTTTCGATAAATTGAGATCGAGGTAATGGTTTAATTCAACGAATTCCGATTTCTGTACAGATCAGATGATTGCTTCACGATCCCTTGACGAGATATCCACTCAATGGAAATGGGGCTTTAGGTAATTTGCCGCTAAACTTTTAGCAGGGGTACCAATACGAAGTAAGGATAGACACGTAATAATATTTATTTATTGCAAGTTTCTCAGACGTGTTTATACACACGGCAGAATTTATTTCGACACGCGATTAAAAATATTGGATTATCTTTCTTATATTTGCAAATTATAATATAAACAAACTTTAGTGTTTTTTTATAATGATAAAAAGACTGCATTAATTTTGATTTGTTATTATTTTTTTCTACTCTACTATTTTTCTATTTCCGCGAAGATACATAAAGATGCAATTTCAAAGTATGATATCGTAATGATACTTTTTAAACTATCACAAATTATAAGGGAATTGAAGAGAATTTTAGAAAAGTAGAAAATATGTTGGCACGGTATCGCAATCGTGTAAATTCGTATAAAACTTGTTTGAATATCTAAAAATATCCGTCGAGAGCGCTACAAGTTATTCGCATGGCTTGTCCATTAAAGCCTTAAGTTTTAGGGCAGTCTGCCAAATGCATTTGTACTTCAAAACTGGCAACGGAAACGTGGTAAGTGGGAAAGTTTTAATGAAGCAATTACTTAAAAAAAAATGCGAAAGTGACTTGTTGAAGTCTTTCAAATTACTGGCTTTTTATATCTTGCTTTAGTGTTAGAAATAAAATAAAGTCAAATGATACAGTTTATTGAAAAGTCACATTAAAAATGATCGTTTTTTTTTCTTTTTATAACATTTCAGAGCAAAAACATTATTTGGTATCAGAACATTCTACTAAAGTTTCGTCAAAATCTGTTTATTGGTTTGGAAACGCTGACAGACTAAATATTCTACTTTTTATTTTATCCGCATTTATATAGCATTATTATCTTTGTTGTATATGTATGAAAATAATAAAGATTTCGTTTCAGATACGCTTTTGTTTCTCTTTCGTGAATAGAAAAAAATATAGTGCATTTTTCATATCGTGAGCTATTTGGATTCACGAACAATAGACCCGCCAAGCAATGAAGTCGTCTTGGGAAATAACTTTAGAAATTACGTTTCTTGATAAAACATATAAATAAAAACTGAAATTTAAAACAGAAATAGACCGATTATTTTACCTGATTACTTACTTTTGATTGCGTTCCTTCTCTGTAACTTTAGACATCGCAAATTGTTAACTTGGTTGCTTATGTTATAGTTCTTTAGTGTAGTAATTTAAAAAATCACTTGAATTTGCACAAAACTATGATAAATCTGAAAACTGTTATTTGTAACTTAATGAAACGCATCACAAGTTTGTAATTGCAATAAAACTAAAATGTTCTCGAACAAAACATAACCAAAAACACGAAATGATATCTACATAAACTTTCAACTAATGACAAATCTGCGCGGGATATGAATATCCTTTTGATAAAGTGCGACAAAATAACATATATTTAATACTAGCTTTCGCCCGCAACTTCGTTTGTGGAATTAAAAAAAAACATACAGACGAATTGAAAATAACCTATGTGATTTTTTTTTATAAGAGAAGGGGGCAAACGAGGGACGGGAAGTTAAAAAAAACAATTGTAAATATGTGTTTTTCAAGACTATCCTACACATCTTTACCAAATTTCATCGAAATCCGTTCAGCCGTTTAACAAACTCTAACAAACATCCATCCATCTAAACGTTCGCATTTATAATGTTAGTAAGATTGCTGATGTATTCATTAAAAAATGGTTTTCCAATACTTTGTCCTGCATCACGGCCTTTAAACAAGTATTCCTCAGACAAGAAAGTAGCATCGACTTGAGTAATAGCCTATTTCGCGTCGTACAATTGGGTCAGCACCATCGGGATTTACAAGATTAATCAATCCTTTAATTAAATCTTAAAAGTTATAACAAACTTCGTGTATCAAGTTTTAAAGTGACGTCACTGGATCATTAACAAGGGTATAATAAGTGTGTGTAGTAGTGTTTGTAGAATATGCCAAATTGTATTCCAGTTGCATCAGTTTTACAGATTTTTAAAGATCATTAATCGAATGTTTGTCTAGGACCTGTCTATTTTCGGCAGATCGTTAAATGTGTGCTATTACTGTAACCATTAGTTTAAAGTGTCAAAAAACGTGTATCAATTTCGCATATTATATATTGTAGTCCTGCTTATTATCTTTAAATAAATACAGATATGAGGTTTCACGTTTCGTATTGATGATTGGGAAATAGTAATACACAGTTGCGTAGTAAACGAGGGAATAAAAACCTTTTTTCATTAAGCAGTAATGATTATTGCTTTATTAACTGGCTTAGTCGTTTATTAATTACTTAAGCAGTCCCTTACTGTACATTTTATTAATTAATTTACCCTAAACTCGTCTAAAGGTTATTGCGTTGCATTGATGACGTTGGCTAAGCGGGGAGGTCACAAGGCGGTCTCACGTGATCCTTGATTGCACACCAAGTGCGCCGACCTCAGCTAAATCAATATCCTTACACTTGCTAAGACTTCAGTATTCAAGATTGTTATAATTTGATTAAAACGTTAAACCATGGTTATGTACAGCTTGTATATCAAGCTAACAGTAATTTTTTTTTTTGAGTTTACTTTTTATTTTAATACCAGGATGAGGTATATTTTGAAATAATTATGCAAACTAGAATAACTGATAATAGAAGATTATTTTAAAATAAGTGTAAATACATCTGAATATGATTATCTTTTCGAATTGTGATCAGATTAATATTACAATTTAATCTATTGTGCTTTCCCATTTACATTTTCTTTCGTATTTTTATTTTAATAATCTCAGAGGTTAAATTACTAAAAAGTACAAATATATACTTAGAATATTCCAGACAGATATTAATATCGTAGGGTTCTTTCTTCGTTCTTCCATTACGCGTCAGTCATTTTAAAAGTTCAACAGGCGTCAATAAGGTCAAGGTACTAGTACATCTGACTTACAATCAATATAGAATTTTTCATTAAAATTTCCATGTATCGTATAAAAAATTTTCCTCAACTTACTTGAGGGTAATTACGAAATTATTGAATGTATGTATTTTGTAATTAAAAATATATGAAATCAATTGATTTTATACGTAATTACGTATGTAAATATTGTCTTTTTGATATTTGTAGACAATGATTTCTAATAATAACGTTATACAGAAATTAAATATACTTACATTTCTCTGTTCGTCTGTTTGCGGTGTCTTCGTTAAATTAAGGTGATTCCGTTCACAGACGTATCTTATTTTGGATGCAGTTCATTCACTGATAAATTTTCTAATAAAGTCTCAACCGACCTATATAGCAGCACAGCTGAACACAAAATGAATGTATTTCATGAATGAGAAGGATCAACGATTTCCAAGTATGTCGGCGATCTATTTTTAGTATCGTCTTTTACATTGAAATGACAACCCCTATTTTCACTGAAAAACCTACCACTCGTTTTAAAATGCCGTTATAATATCGATTAAATAAATAAACGCAGCTAAAATGTTAAAATTCACTAAATCTCGTTGATACGGAGCGAAGAGAAAACCTTCCGCGAATAAGTTTCCCGATGTATATGGAAGAGGGCGCGTCAGTATTTTCCATAATAGGTACGAATGGTCTAAAAATACAATAACATATAACTACATAAATTCGAACCCAATACCCGAGGAAGAAGGTTTAAATTCCTGTGTAAAGTCCTGTCGTTAGTACGCATGTGTGAACTGTTCGTGGGTGTACGTGTGGGGGTTTGACGCATGCGTGTAGGGAGGTTGGCGCCGAACAAAAATCAATTCCTTGGGTACGTGGGTGTTACGTAATATAGACAAGATTGTGCCAACGAATGCCATCTAATTCGAGTTAATTTTATTAAACAATAATATCAGTTATCTACTACGTAACTAGTTGTACCTTTGACATACTAGTTTATAATATTAAATTAATGACAAAGTTGATTATGACAAACTTAAGCTATAATTCTCAAGGTAGCAACTAAATATCTATCTTTTCATATTGCTTACAAAAGATCTTTGAGGTTATATTTGTATTTTCAAAAATAGAATTGTGGAAAATTGAAAAGCAATTGAAAAGCCCATTAACATGTTAATTTAAGTAAAACAACGGCCCTTTACGAACACTTCCCACAGGAGCACTTTAGATACGCATAATTTCTGACTAAGTAATTAAATACATAAACAATACTAAGCTATTCTGTTTTAGAAAGTTATGAGTTATGCAAAACTACAAAGTTTTGTTCAATTAGAACGAAATTGAATTACCATTAAACAAACTTAACAATGTTAAAGTTAACATTAACAATGCTGAACAATTCTTCTAAAATATATGTTTCAATACAATATTCTAAACTAGCTTTCGACCGCGACTCCGTTCGCGTGATATTTTAATAAAACAAATGTGAGTAGCCTATGTGTTCTTCCAGACTATGCTCTATATCTGTACCAAATTTCATCGAGATCCGTTAAGCCGTTTAGGCTACAAACGCTAAGAAACATCCATCCATCCGTCGTAACTTTCGCATTTATAATATTCATATGATGTACAGTTGGCTTTTTTCACGGTGCTCCAGTTACAGAATTTGGTATCTACATGTTCCTTTTTTGACTACTATTAACTAATAATAGCTGTCTACAATCATTTAGTTGTTAAACTTGCCTTTGATACGATATCTAATTTCAACACAATTTACAAACCCGCATTATAAGCTTTGTACACCTAACTACGAATAGTCTACATTATAACCTTAATTAAATAACCTAGATCTTTTATTTCAGTAGTGTAGTGGAACCAAAACAACAGTTACTGTCCTTCTTAGAGATGTTTACAATATAACCTGTAAGCAATCTCTTAGGGCCTGTCCCACCAAATTGTAAATTGTCTTATAATAATCCACCATGTAAAATATGTCATGGAAATATCGGATTTTGTTTCTTATTTCACAGAGACGTTATTTTTAAGCTATCTGCGCCTCTATCAGCCAGTAGTGGGACAGGCACTTAGTGTCTTATCTTAGGTTTTAAACTTAAATCTATAAAATGGAACGCACTAAATAACCATTTGAAAGTGTGGAGTTAAAAAAAATTGAACCCAAAGTAATTGCGTTTTAAAGGATATAAATAAAATGTATTTTAACTTGGCATTGCGTTCCAAGTTTACTCAGTGATTTCAACAGGTATTCATTTATAAAATAAAAAGAAATATCGTATAGTAGAGCTATATCGGTATGAGCGGTATATTGAACTTGCTGACCTCGTTGGCACAGGTCGGCATAGCTGGGAGCAATCGGACTTCCGAACTATTCTTCCGCATATCTCACAAACCTGTAGCCGTTATTTGCTAGTACTAGGCTATTATTTATTTCGCAAGCAGATCATAGATACAGTGGATAACATTTTATATTGTTATTTATCATTTTAATTACATTAAAATAATTTTAAAAGATGTCAATAGTTTTATGATATTGTTGTGATGCTAAATCTACACTCAAAGTGGTTCTAAGTGGTTACTAAATGGTTGTTTAATAATTGGGAAAGTGTTAGTCTATGATGAGATAACAAGGATTTGATTGCATCACCACTGAGGAAACGGGAAGAGTATGGATATGATAGAAAATATATGAGACGTATGCCCTTTGCTACCCAGGTGTAGCTGGGACGGATCGCTAGTCTATACTAATGTAATAAAAAGAAAGATTTTTATTTTTGTATGATTTGAAGTAATTGAAAAACTACTGGATCCATTAAAATAATTGTTTCACCATTTTTATTAATTTTTAATTTCGCGTGGACGATGTCGTGAGCAACAGCTAGTTAATTATAAACGTAAATCATTCCAATACATACGTTCTGTTATCATGGCCCCTTATAAGGTTCATTGAACTTTCGAAATGGAGATATAGAGGCGAGGTTACGAACATTATTCTTATAAAATAATCAATCACTTGACATCAAAGTACATCAAAGTCGAACGCTCCCTAAATTACTTACACGTGCTGCTCAAAATGAAGGTCGTTGAAATGTAACTAAACAACCTCAAAAGCTTTATTATACCGAATAAACAAGAACAATTCAGCTACTAACTACTAATTAGTTAATCAAATAATTGACTCTACTATATTTCTCATACAGAAGTTTCTGATTCCATTGACATTTAGTTTACACTGTCTAAGTACAACGATACAGTACAACAGATGTTTGTATTTTTATATTGTATGGAAAATTGGAACGTCGGTGATTCAGTGGTTTGAACAGTTGACATGTAATCTACAGGTCTTGGGTTCGAATCCCGTCGTGTAAAAATGTGATTATCGAATTTTTCGAATTTACATATAATTTTCCCGACGTTCTTACGGTGAAGGAAAACATCGTGATGCAACCTGAACATATCGAACATAGCGAAGAAATTCAAAGATATGTGTGAAGTCAAATAACCCGCACTGTAAACTTTTTTGAAAATAAAAACACCCGCATCAAAGGTCCCTGAGAAATATATGTCAGGGGAGCGACGAGAGCGGCAGAAGCCGCCAAAAAAAAAACACAAAAAAAAAACAACCCGCTCTTGGCCAGCGTGGTTGACTATGGCCTAGTCACCCCTTATTTGGGTAGGCTCCGAGTCCCTCGGTGGGGACGTAGTACGAAATAAAAAGAACAGAGAAAAACTCTTTTTACTGTAGTTAAGTCATAAAATATTAACCAAATTAACTTTCAATGTGACGACCAAAGAATTCCGGTCTTAAGCCGTTAAAATAATTCATACGCCGAGACCAATTTGTTGTACTTAGAACCTTTATTCTGTCCCCGTATCTTGCTTTTAATATTCGATAAAAATCTCGTGTTTCACCTTTAGCTGTGGTTTCCCATGAAGTAGGTCTACCGCAGTGTTTAGGATAGGTAGCACATGGTTTTCTTGGTGATACAGAATTCAATTTGATAGTAGAAACTGCTTCAGTGTTAACAGAATTAACCAATGTTTCTGTTATACTTGGAGTAGTCATGACTGTGGATTCTTTTGTTTTTGTAGTTTCTTCCTTAGTCGTTGTACTCCTAGTTTCTTTTGAAGTTGTAAACGTATCTACTGTGGTGGAAAGGGATGCTGTGTCTGTATGATCTGTGGTCTGTGAATTTGTTGAAATTTCATTAACATCTGAATCGTTTAGAAATGGAGTATTGTTAGTTATTATTGTAGAAGTTGTTGTTTGTGTTCTTGTACATATTTCCTTAGCATTAGTTTTAACTGTAGTTGAATATGATAACGTTTCTTGCTTGCTAGTTGTATTAATAATCAAATCGTCAGTGGCTTCTCTTGGTTGAGTTATAGATTTTTTTGTTGTTTTAATTTCAGTTTTAGTAGCAATTGTTTGATTATCTAAAAATGATAACTCTTTGATTATTTGTCCTTGCAAAATGATTGTTTTTGAAAAAGTACAAAAATTAAGCTCACTAGAAAATAGATTTATTGTTACCTTCTAAATTAGATGATGTAGTGGACATCAACAAGGTAGATAAATTATTGGTAATTTGCTTTTCCTCGCGTGTACACTCTTCGTAAGATATTTTAACATATTCTGCAATAAGTCGTAATTATCAATGAAGATTGACTATCGTGGCAGTAATGTGGTAATTGTATTGAAGTGCTTTGAACAATTTACAAAACATAAGTTTACACAAGCCGCCATGTTCGTATGTAATAGCTAAACAAATTAATTTGCATTCATACTCAATTGTTATTAGTTTTAAATTCAATTTCTTCTTGCTGTATTCGGCATTAGGAACAATCTTTCATCTCCAATCTTTTATCTCCTAAACTTACTTGGGAAATGTTAAGAAATAAGGAACACTTGCTTTTCTTGTAATCACAGTTATGTTCAAACATGTCACATTCATCGAGGAACAACCGCTTGTCTAATGTTATTTTTTCTTCGCCACATTCTGGAATATCTGTGTGATTGCAAAGGTCTGCTAGAAGGCAAGAGTGTAAAGGCTGTAAAAGTTGCATGTGGATATTAAACTGTGGGTTTTAAACGTCGAAACATTTGTAGGTATATATTTATTGTTTACATTCTATATGAAAAGAACAGAGACAGTCTTCACGATAGCGTTTTATTGCGGAAGTTTAGGTGGATGGATGTTTGTTAGAGATTGTAGCCTAAACGGCTGAACGGATTTCGATGAAAGTTGACATCATTGTAGACGATAGTCTGGACGAACACATAGGCTACTCAGTTTTGCGTTTTTTAATTCCAAGAGGACGGAGTCGCAGGCGAAAGCTAGTTACTAATATTTTAAATGCGGAAGTTTAGGTGGATGGATGTTTGTTAGAGTTTGTAGCCTAAACGGTTGAAAGGATCTCGATGACGTTTGGCATAGATGCAGATTATAGCCTGGAAGAACATATAGTCTACTTACTTTTATGTTTCTAAATCAACGCGGAAGAAGTTGCGGACGAAAGCTAGTTAATAGGTAAATTAAATTCTTACAGGATTGTAATGTGGCTTGCTCAGGTGTGGCATTGTTAGAGTTCCTATTAAATATACAA